CATCTCATTACATACATTTATTCCATATTATATACAATATTTTGCATGGTACTGTACTATACATTAAATATATACAAATAAACTTTATTAACAATTTACATTTCAATACTCACTGATACAATGGAATAGTGAATAACAATGTCATTCATTTGAATGGTCAAGCCACAGAGTACTAGAAACAAATCTTTAATATAGCTGACTAAAATTAAATAGGATAGCAAAATTAAAAGCCCAGTATACATTACAGTATTTCCTCAAGTGTGTTTGTCGTGTCATATAACATCAGATAACATCAGAGATCAGACACCTTAATGCTATTTTGGGGATTTGCTTTTAAACTAGCTGACGTAGCTTGAGTTGAAGTAGGTATGCAAGTACTTGTACCAGAGACCAGTCTTTCCATACTTGCAATCCCACCCAATATTAGTGTTGGGTATACACACACATATGTATGGTTCCCATCTTAGAAAGGAATTGAGATACACATCTAGATTTACATTAATACTTCTTCAGGTCCAGTATTAAGGACATATATTGGAGTAGAATCTTATGAAATTATTTCCATATAATTTTGGCTATATGTGGGAATTTCCCAGTTATATATGTTTTAACTGCTGGACAGATGCAAGCCAATTGAAAATTCAATCAGTTTGGGTTTTCATGTACAGTATACATCTTAAATTATCCAAATACAGCTATGGATGATCACAATGACATGCCAATCGTGACATTTATGACAATGCCATTCAACGAGGTAAAGTGTAACAAATTACAAAATTATGAAGGCCATAGTACACAGAGCTCTTCAGGCAAGCTAATAAATCGAGGAGTGATATCTTTCCTATATCTGGACGGTAGCACAACATAGCTATGTGCAGTACGTAGTATTATACAGTAATTACATAGTGGGTGTACATCATCACTTATTGACTACATTAAATTGATCTTGCGAAGAATTCATGATATTAATTGTTAAAATCTGTCTTATTAAAAATATGCTGGTAGAAGTAGTTGAATTTAGGTTTTCATTAAGCCGTATGGACAGTAGACAACTTATACAGTTGTAAGATTTTTATTTACCTGTTACAGAACCACTTGTATATATTCAGAGTCAGTGATAAACTGTAGCTTGGATAGTCAAGTTTTATTTATTTATTTATTTATTTATTTATTTATTTATTTATTTTTATATATACAAGAAGGTGCATTGAGTTGTGAGAGTACATAACTGTGAGAGCTATAGGTTGTGAGGGTACATAACTGTGAGAGCTATAGGTTGTGAGAGTACATAACTGTGAGAGCTATAGGTTGTGAGAGTACATAACTGTGAGAGCTATGAGTTGCGAGAGTACATAACTGTGAGAGCTATAGATTGTGAGAGTACATTGCAAGAGGCAAGATGAATTAATAATGTGCATGCAAAAACAGTGTTGCATATAGCTGTATGCATACAAATGTGGCTAATATGTACATTAGAACCAACATAAAAGATACAGTGAAATGTGGAGTGAGATGAGCTTCAGCAAACAATAACTAAGACCATATTGGTTGATGACAAAAGTGGCAACCATGGCAGTGTGCATTTCTTTTTCTTTTTTCATTAATATCTTTAAGCTTTCTTGGTTGTGATGCATTGTTCAAGCTTTTCAGTCATGTGAGCTTATGTGTAGAATATGGCTTCGATTGTGGCATGTATCCACAGTCATCAGAACATTTCCCTCAAGTGGAAATATTTAAGTCTTTATTGTCCATGGTTGTGGTAATTAGTCATTTACATACACAAAACAAGACAGTTTTGTGTATTTATTGTGGCTCATATTTCTTTAGGTCAATAACAGTTTCTTAAAATGTGAGTTTTATGAAGTTTTGCAGTTAAAAATTAAATAATAAATTACTTGATTACATCCAGTATCTCTAATTTTTCCTCATGAACTATAGAAGCAATTAATTTTGACAAAAACAGGAAGCCTGTATACTGTATATATATATGGTACTTTACACTTGTAGGCAGATGCTCATTAGAATACCCCATTTATCCATCAGGGTGTCATTGAATGACAGAAAAATATTGGTTTCAGTTTAAAATACTCTCCTGAAGCATTGCCCCCTTAGTAAGAGCATAAGGGGGCTCTTAGTGCTGTGAAATCTTGTCATATGTTTCTCTTGTTTAAAGCTTCACAAAGTGGCTTATTGAGCCTGAGAAACATAAGTATGTTGCCTCAGGTCCAACAAACTACAGTACCTGCCTCCAAACACCATCTAGCTCCATTGTTAACAACCATATTCAGAGAATGCTCACATGGAATGAAGATGGCCCAGGGATTGATTTCCATGATTTTCCTTTGCACACCATTGTCTTTAGCCTTTATATTACTCCTATTATCAGAGCCTTGGCCAGATAAGTTCTCTAGTGTGGAAGTGGTGGACTTTGACTCCAACCTATAAATTATGTGAGAAATCTTTAAAGAATTCTGATAAAGAGATCTAGGGGTGGTTTTAAATAGAAAACTATCACTTGAGGACCACATAAAGAACATCGTGCAAGGAGCCTATGCTACACTTTTCAATTTCAGAATTGCTTTTAAATACATGGATGGTGAAATACTAAAGAAATTGTTCACAACTTCTGTTAGACCAAAGCTGGAATATGCTGTAGTTGTATGGTGCCATATCTTAAGAGGCACATCAATAAACTAGAAAAGGTCCAAAGACATGCATCTAAATGGCTCCCAGAACTGAAGGACAAGAGCTACAAGGAGAGGTTAGAGGCATTAAATATGCCAAAACTAGACAATAGAAGAAAAAGAGGCAATATTATCACTATGTACAAAATAGTAACAGGAAACAATAAAATTGATATAAGAAGTCTTGAGACCTGGAATTTTCACAAGGGGGAACTTCCTGGAAGAACAAGAGGTTATAGCTAACTAAACAAAGCTGCCGGAGAAATAAAGAAAATTCACTTTCACAGAGTGGTAGATGGTTGGAACAAGTTAGATGAGAAGGTGGTGAAGGCCAAAACCGTCATTACACAGAGAAATCACATTATTGTGATATACAGTATCAATGAGTAAATACAAAGGAGCCATGATGAGGATTCTAACCTATGTATTCACCTAGTTGTGCTTGTGGGGAGTTGAGCTCTGCTCTTTTGGCCCACCTCTCAACTGTCAATTAACTGTTACTAACTTTTTTTTCCATGCCACACACACATCCCCCCAGGAAGCAGCCCGTGACAGCTGTCTAACTCCCAGGTTCCTATTTACTGCTAGGTAACAGGGGGCATCAGGGTGAAAGAAACTCTGCCCATTGGCTCCTGTGGATTTTCGAACTGTCAGTACAGTAGTTTCAAAGCATTATATGATAAAGAGTACTGGGAAGACAGGACACCATGAGTGTAGCACTTATCCTGTAACTACACTTAGGTAATTACAAATAGCATTACCTTCATCTATTGTAGATTAGCTTCAGTTATAATTACTCCAAATCATCACCCTCACCAGCACAAAACCCCACAAAATTGGCTTTCTGCCATGTCTGCAGAATTTTATCCAATAAAAAATCTCTCACACTATCTGACAGTCAATTACTTGTTGCCAATACTGCATTATTTTTCCTTCGTCACATGCAATTTTTTTTCATTGATAGTTTAAAAAAAAAATCACAATTTGTTTTTTTAAATTTTTGAAACATTCTAAATTTTGTTCTTTTCTGATATGAAGAGATAATTGAAGATATGTTTCATTCCAGTCCTTTGAACTATTTTCAGCAAGTGCTGTACCAATTGCTGGATTTCAAAGCTGCATATGGTATGAACAAAACACAGAAACCTTCAATAGTGAATAATGTAACTAATTTTAATTAATTTCATTGCCATTAATGAGTTCCCTCTTGTAATGCTGGTGGTTATTGAGGGGTTCGGTGGAGGGTGAATGTGTTGAGTGGGGGGGGGGGGGGTTGAGAGGGTGTGGACAGGGTCCATCGGTGGAGAGTGTGGGATATGTGGATGGAGGGTGTAGATGGATGGTGAGGATGTGGATGAGAGAGAGGATGGTAAGGGTGTGAGTGGAGGGATTGGTGGATGATGGGTGAGGAGTGTTTGGTGGCTACAGTTGGTCAATGATGGGTGCAGGGCTTGGGACAGTGTGTGGAGTTTGAGAACTAGACCATGCAGAACAGAACACGGAGGATGAAAAGGAAATGTGTGAAACACTAAACAAACAGTGCCAGAGTGTATTTGTGCAAAATCAGATAATCGGACATAATTCAAATTTTAGGGACTAACAAGAATAACACGACTACATAAAGGTGTCTCAAGACAAAGTGGAAAAAAATGCTGAAGGAGCTAAAGGAATGAAGTAGTTGTCCTAGATAGACTTTCATCTTGGGTTCTGAGGGAATGTGTATCTGAACTTAGAACTCTACTTCAATTGATTGTTCAGTCATCTTTGTGTACAGGAGTCCTGACAGATACATGGAAAAAGGCTAACATAGTTCTAATCTACAAAAATGGTAGCAGGGAAGACCCTCTAAATTAGAAACCTGTATTGTTGATGAGCAGAAGTCAAAACAGGCAAAAATAATTACAACCAAGTGGGTAGAGCACTTGGAGAGAAATGATATAACAGACAGACAGTATGGTTTTTGATCAGTTTGATCCTGTGTAACAAATCTGCTAGTTTCTTTGATAAGAACCACAGAGAGTTTACAGGAAAGAGATGGTTGGGTTGACTGCATTTACTTGAACCTAAAAAACAAAAGGATTGACAGTCCCACATAAGAGGCTGTTCTGAAAACTGGAACATGTTGGAGGGGTGACAAGAGACTTCTGGCATGAATAACAAAAATTCTGACAGAAAAAAAATGAGGGAAGTAATCAAAAGCAGTGTATCGGACTAGAGAAGTGTTAACAGTAGAGTACCACAGGGTTCAGTTCTGGCAGCAGTAATGTTCATTGTCTATATAAATGATCTACCAGAAGGAATACAGAATATATGAACATGTTTGCTGATGATGTCAAGCTACCAGGGAAGATAAGGAACATGGAGGATTTTCTTGCCCATCAACAAGACCTAGACAAAGTAAGTGTTTGGAGTAACACTTGGCAAATGGAATTTAATGTGAATAAATTTCACATTATGGAATGTGAAATAGGAGAAAATAGGCTACACACAACCTACAAATTATGTGAAAAACTTTAAGGAATTCTGATAAAGAAAGAGATCTAGGAGTGGTTCTAAATAAATAAACTGTCACCCGAGGATAACATAAAGAACATTGTGTAAGAAGTGTATGCTGTTCTTTCTAACTTTAGAATCGCTTTTAAATACATGGATGGCGAAATATTGAAGAAATTATTCACTACCTTTGTGAGACTAAAGTTGGAATATGCAGCTGTTGTATGGTTACCATATCTTAAGAAGCACATCACTAAATTAGAAAAGGTGCAAAGACATGTAACTAAGTGGCTTCCAGAACTGAAAAAGGGTTTGGTATCTTCTATACCAAAGCTAGAAGATAAAAGTGTGATATGATCACTACAGTACTTACAAAAATAGTATCAGGATGAAATTGACAAAGAATTTTTTAAAACTGTAACTTCAAAAACAAGAGGACATAGATTCAAACTAAGAAACAAAGCTGCAAAAAAAAAAAGTCAGAATGTTCCCTTTTGCAAACATAGTGGTGGATGGTTGGAACAAGTTAAGTGAGAAGTGGTGGAAGCCAAAACTGTCAGTACCAGTAGTTTCGAAGCGTTATAGGCCAATGTACTGGGAAGATATGACACCATGAGCATAGCTCTCATCCTGTAACTAAATTTAGGTAATTACTCAATAGTGAAGGGTATAAGCAGCTACATATTACAAAAAATCACAAACACTGTTCAATTGTACTCTCGGTCAATGTTCCAATTCCCGAACAAATTGATGGGCAGATCACTTAACTTGCCTAAACACAGTCCAAAGACTCACTCACAACATAAGATGGAATCTCAAGAACTTGGTCACCCTTCTCTGATTGAACAACATTTTCATAGTTCTCTTGGTTTCATTTACTGTCCCTGTGTTTTCTGTCTTTTTCTAAGGGTTTATAATGTCTATGAGTCATTGCAGAAAACTGCTTCTCCTTATGCGCTGTTCTAGATATGTTAATGCCATAACAATAGCAGTGAGCTCTGGTTGTGGAAAGGAGGCATATTTAACTGAATCTTTTAACTGTTTTTTAGTTAACTACTTTTTATTAAATTTTCGTTTTGGAAGGTATCACTCCTAATTCCTGCTTTGCAATTCATAGTATTAGCAAATCCATCAGTGTTGATCTAATTTATTTCCCCCCAATATATGTCTTGATTTTTTTGGTAACATGATGGACTTCTTCATTGTCTCCTTAAATATTTTAATTTTACATAATCCTTCCTCCCCCATAGGCAACATACAGGCATTAATCAGCTCACATGCTTGCTCAAGCAGGTAGAGTTCCTTGATGAAGCATTTTGATTGATCTTGCCACCGAGTTTTTTCTCCTATAAATAGTGCAGAACTCAGTTTGTATTGGCATTGTAATTAAAGTAGAGGCCTCTGCCAATATTAATAAGCTTGGAAGACTTACCTCTTCTTGCAGATTTGATGTTTTGGCAGTTTTTGCTACTCAATGATTGCATGCCCCAATGAGTGATCAGACTCCTCTCTCGAACTTCACAATTAATTTGCAGGACACTCCTCTTGTGATGGGTGTACTATGCATTTGTCTTCTTTGTGGAGAAAGTGAAGGCAAGTTCATTACATTTTCTTCCAAGAAGTTGAATGGACTGCTTCATCTTGTCAAGGATGTTGTATTTCCTAGTTTTGTGGCTGATCTCTGATCCCTTGTCCCCCTCACGTCATAGTGAACCAATTTCTGGTCTTCACTCCCCAACCTGTGCTCAGACCAAGTCCATTCCATCCAGCAGTTGACCCCAAAGGTGCATTCATAAATTTTAACATGCTGTTCATTCAAAACAGGAATTTTCTCATATATAAATCATTATTATTTCATATTACTAGTGTGTATATATAGGCACTGGTTAGGTTAGGTGTTTAGGTTCTGGTGGTGATTATTTGTATTTATGTTACGAGGGTGAAGCATTTAATGCATTGTGGTTCGAACAAAATTTGTCAGTGAAGAATTTGTTCCGGAAGTGTTCGAACGTCATTAATTGCGAGTTGTGTGTAAACTGTTTTTCATTCATAAACAAGGGGTTTGGCGGGTGCAAGGAATGGCCTTTGGTCTTTGTTTAAACGACGGGCTGCGCTCCCAGTAGGCAACATATGGGACTTGGAGCTCTGATGTGTCGAGCTAAGGCTTGGTGCAGCCAGAAATAATTTTGTGGGTGTCACTGAGGAGTCTGTTCAAGAAATATTTCTATATTAATTTTATTAAGATGAATATTAAGTACATTAATTATTGCAGTTAAATTACAGTACATACTGTAACAATAATTATTTCCAAATTTTATACATTTAAATTGTGTAAACTTTAATAATTATGTAAATAGTACTTGAGTTCACAAAAATACTCTTATTTTGTGTGTGATTATAATCACAATATATGTATGTGTTGTTGTGAGCAATAAATTTTTGGAAGTCATTAATTACTCAGTATAGCCTATGTACAATCCTTATACACACAATGTACTGTACTGTACTGTTTAGTTTCAAATAACTAATAACAGTGTTTTTCAGGTGGCAGATGGTACTGATAATGGTGAGGATAATAGTGTCCTTTTGGGTGGCAATGTTGCTGGAGGAATGGCTGGTCCACGACGACAATACACTTGTCCATTATGCCCAAAGGCCTTTCTCTTCCCATCTCATCTGGAACGTCACGTTCGTACTCACACAGGCGAACGCACCTTTGCCTGCCCATATTGCCCACATCGTGCTGCACGTAAAGATCACCTAGACGTCCACCTTCGCACTCATTCTGGGGAAAAGCCATTTGCTTGTCCACATTGTCCTTTTAGGACTGCCTTCAGGAGTAGCCTTGATGGCCATCTTAGAACCCATACCACTTAAAGTCATTGGTAAGAACCCAGTTCAGAGAATATCTGATATTGTAATACAAGTTCTATACTAAGACTAATTTAAATACTTTGTTGAGAAAAAACAAAATTAAAGGTTAGGTGAAGTTTTCTTGATTAGAATACAAATCAGCATTGATTCCACCAGCATAACGGATTTATTTTTACCTAGTAAATGGAAAATGTTTATTAGATTTCCAAAACTAAAAATACTCTCTCCTCAGTTAATCATTTAATGATAGTTCATGATGATTGTGGTTGGTAGAACAGTGACTTTGTCGTGCCTATGTTAGCACTTTCTGCTGCTTGCTGGATACTTGTTGGCTTAACATTGTTTTGGAAGTTTGGCAGCAAGTGGTGTATATGTAACTTTATAAAACTCGTAAAGAAACCGTAACCTAACTTAAACTGGCTTAACCTAGCCTAACAAAATTATAATTTAGGAGCTCCAACCTGTTCCGGTCGGTCGAGCGGACAGCACGCTGGACTTGTGATCCTGTGGTCCTGGGTTCGATCCCAGGCGCCGGCGAGAAACAATGGGCAGTTTCTTTCACCCTATGCCCGTTACCTAGCAGTAAAATAGGTACCTGGGTGTTAGTCAGCTGTCACGGGCTGCTTCCTGGGGGTGGAGGCCTGGTCGAGGACTGGGCCGCGGGGACATTAAAAAGCCCTGAAATCATCTCAAGATAACCTTTCTTGTAAACATTAGAAATATACAGTATATTTATAACTTGGTTGGAATACCTGGCTGTGCCCAGGTCTTTTCTCCTCACCTCATTCTCCTATACACACTACCTTTCTACCTCCTCTATCTCTTTCTCTTTCTCCCAATTTTCCACCCTATTACCTCTCTTCCCCACTCTCTCTCAGACATTATGAACAAGTGAAAACTTCAAAAAAATTCTACAGAAAGCAAATCCCACATTTCAGACTTCCTGGAAAACAAATATGAGCCGATATTTCTTAAAGAAGAGGGGTTGAACCCCAACAGGCCTATGATACTCCCATACCACCCATTTTGAAAAGTTGGGTGAGATGAGACCCCAAGCTTCTGGTCTCCAGCCTTGGACACAGACATTACAGATACAGATTCTCCTAATATTTTTATAAGGCTATTTAGCAATATTTAGTAACAGTTTCATGTATTTTCCCTACTAAAGAAAGATGCATAATAAGAATGTATAACATGAATTTGTTTTCATCCCATATGGAAATATCATAGGCAACCAAAACTTACTTGTTCATCTTCATGGTAACTACTTGTCTTCTACATGTCAAGTGAGATTTTTAAAAGTTGATTCAAGCTCTTTCTTAAGCTCCCAATTATTAACTTACTAACTACAACTGGAGTGACTGCTCCCCACAAATCTGTAGTACCACCAAAAGCTTCAACTTATTTTCGGTTCAAATGCAGTGTTAGGTTACATTAGGTTAAGCAGTTCTATTCCCAGTACTAGAAAGGACCACACACATAAGTAGCTAAAACAAAATGCACTTGTTCTTACAAGGACATACAGAAAATCAGTAAAAGCCACCCATCTCAGAATGGACATGAAGACCACACCTATGGAAATACTGAAGACCGCAGCCAGGGTACACCTGTTCCACCACTGGCATATTGAAGATTACAGCCAGGTTACACACAAGGATATATGGTGCCCTAGACAAATTTTCTACATTCCCTCCCTTATCATTTATAATATACATACTATATTATATAGTGTGTATATTATATTATACATATACATATATTATATATATTATATATATATATATATATATATATATATATATATATATATATATATATATATATATATATATATATATATATATATATATATATATATATTTATTTATGTCGTACCTAGTAGCCACAACTCACTTCTCAGCCTACTATGCAAGGCCCGATTTGCCTAATAAGTCAAGTTTTCATGAATTAATTGTTTTTCGACTACCTAACCTACCTAACCTAACCTAACTTTTTCGGCTACCTAACCTAACCTAACCTATAGAGATAGGTTAGGTTAGGTTAGGTTAGGTAGGGTTGGTTAGGTTCGGTCATATATCTACGTTAATTTTAACTCCAATAAAAAAATATTGACCTCATACATAATGAAATGGGTAGCTTTATCATTTCATAAGAACAAAATGAGAAAATATATTAATTCAGGAAAACTTGGCTTATTAGGCAAATCGGGCCTTGCATAGTAGGCCGAGAAATGAGTTCTGGCTACTAGGTACGACATTTATATATATATATATATATATATATATATATATATATATATATATATATATATATATATATATATATATGTCGTACCTAGTAGCCAGAACGCACTTCTCAGCCTACTATGCAAGGCCCGATTTGCCTAATAAGCCAACTTTTCATGAATTAATGTTTTTTCGACTACCTAACCTGACCTAACCTAACTTTTTCTGCTACCTAACCGAACCTAACCTATAAAGATAGGCTAGGTTAGGTTAGGTAGGGATGGTTAGGTTCGGTCATATATCTATGTTAATTTTAACTCTAATAAAAAAAATTGACCTCATACATAATGAAATGGGTAGCTTTATCATTTCAAAAGAAAAAAAATAGAGAAAATATATTAATTCAGGAAAACTTGGCTTATTAGGCAAATCGGGCCTTGCATAGTAGGCTGAGAAGTGCGTTCTGGCTATTAGGTACGACATATATATATATATATATATATATATATATATATATATATATATATATATATATATATATATATATATATATATATATATATATATATATATATATATATATATATATATATATATATATATATATATATATATATATATATATATATATATATATATATATATATATGATATATAAAATGGTTTCATTATTTCATAGCTCGCTCAAAGAAATTTAGTCGTCTCCTTATATTTGTCCTAGGCAGCTACTTAATTTAAGATTGTCTAGAACTAGTTCCCAAACTTCGGGGAGTGTTTTGCAATATGTAGGAGGCCATAAGTTGAGTCAGTGTACAGGTTATGATACTCAAAAAATAAATAACAATAACATTTATGTGGCTTCATTTTTTTTAATACTGAGTGTAGGGAACCATAAATAAGGATGCTCTATGAAAAAGGGATAACGACTTTAAAAGGTTTGGGAACCATTGGTCTAATGCTGTATATACAGTAAGTACTTACTTTGGATATACAGTAAGTACACGGCCAAAACCAAGAATACAGAACACCATTCCATCCAGGATATAGACTTATGGATACATGTTGGAACTACTAGCAGGATGCATTTAGGAACACCAGCTAGAACAGATGTTTCACTACCAACATTATGTGACATACTGAACCTACAAAAGTGAGGTTACCACTGTTGCTACAAACTGTATAGAGTACTGTATTTTCAGTGGTACAGGCAGAGATAAACAGCATATTACTCAATCCTTGTGAACAGTTATGTAATGTAATAGCCAGTGTTTAATGCACTTGCCATAATAACTCAAGAAGCCAAGTTTTAACAGGACTTTTGAAGCAGTGTTGATGTAAATATTTTGTGTTGCTCTTATCATTACTTGTAAATAGGAAAGCAGTAATATATTGTCTAGTGGATAAGTTGATATATGTTGAGGTAAAGTTATTTTAAGTTATGAGCTGTATTATTAGAAAACATTTGTGCTGTGATAGATTTATAAATAAAACAGATTATTTTAAGTTTTTAGGAAAACTAAACTAAATGGAATTCCCTAATATTTGGCACTAATGGGTGCTGCTGTAAAACATTCCATTCAACTATTGTACAAAATCATTTAATATTTACAACTGTAATATGCACACTGCTTATATGTCTTGTTTTATTTGCCAAAACGTTTTTTACCGAAAAAGTTTTCACCATTTCTATCACCATATACAATATCCGATACATAAAATATATGCTGTGCAGTATGTATTATACAGTACAGTATGGCCCACACACAGTAGTAGACATTCATCAGTCTCAGGAGACTATGGAGTTGCGCTCTGATTGTCGGTCTGGAGTGGCCTCTCCAGGGCACAAAGCCAGGATAGGTGATATGGGAAAGAAGCTGTCACCCATGTAGCAGGTCCTCCCTCTCAACGGCACCGAAAGTCTCCAATGGAAAGAACTTTGTATTTCTTACCATACTGCACACCACTTCTTAATTGTTAAGGAACTCATGGTGTGGTATATAATAATTACTTTTATGTTTAGAAAGCAAAAAAACTGAAAAAACAATGAAATTCCTTACAAAGAAATTCAAGCGCGATCGTCACTAAGCGGGCAGTCTGGTAAACTGAAGCAGGGTTGCCCGTGCCACCAGAAACCACATGCTCTGTCGACCCATACATGCATCAACAAAGTCACAAGTCGAGTCGAATTTTCTGACAAAATTAGGGTTGCAACTCAAAAAATTTGTAAGTAGGAGCATTCCTAAGTCGAGGTTCCACTGTATAGTATAGTAATATTCAAAATAATGCAATCATTTAAAAGTTTAGTTTAAACCTTTGCATAGCGCAGCAAAAGTTTGCAATACACTGTGCAAGCATATTTTTATCACGACTTAAAGGATTTGCAATGCCATACTATCATAATACACATGACTGCAACATATCAAAATGTTACACAAGACTGACCTTACTATCACTTACAAAGCTGTAACGCTGTATGAGCACAATGTAATATTTCACAAGGATGCAAACACTATCATCTTGAACAAGACTGAACACCCGTCTATCATCTTGAACAAGATTGCAAGCACATGCTACAATTATTTACATCTTATTGACATGGTTAAAAAATATTTAATGTATTTTTCATGGGGGAAGGTGCAATAAGAATATTTTGAATGGGTTGTCACTTTTAATTTATATCGGATGAATGAAAAAAATTCCATTTCATCAATTTGCAGTCATAAAGCTATTTAAAGGCCATTTTATGAGAAACAGAATGCCACCAATGAGGATTATAAAAAGAAGTCTTAATGGATAATTTTAAGAGAAACATGGTACAACACTGACAAAAGGCACACTCAAATAACTAAGTATACAACTATTATAATGGTTTTCATAGAATATGGTTATCTGGGATTACTACAATGGCTATACCACCAGTTCTTTCTGACCATGGCTGTGGCAATGCGACTAGCTGCATCTTATGGTCTCCAGCTATTGTCAATAAATGTTCATCCCATAACAGGTGGTAAGCAATTTTCACCAAAATAGCACATTACGACGTGTAAGAAGTGATCCACACATCAGGAAGAGAGAGTAACTGACACCACAAGCTATTGTAGCTAAGACATTCTAACAATTTTCTTGATATTAAACTCACAATTTGGCATTGCTAGAACTTAATGCTACTGTATTACCACAAGTCAAACACTGGTAAATTTTTTTCATGTTACCTCGATCACAGTTTACTTGTCACGATACAATTTTCATCATGAATATCATTGTCTTAAGGCATACAAGACTGGCACTTAACAGAATCTACATACAGAACTGCTTTTTTTTTTATTAACTTCTTGATATAAATATAACATTATATGTTGACAAGATTACCAATATCCTTCATTAATTAGCATAGTTGAGCATTATGCTAAAAATATAACTTACAGGCTATCTCTTCAACAATGTTGGATGTTAAAATTATTGCCAAGTGTTTATAGTTTCAAAAGCACACTGTATAAAGAGATCCAAATTTCAATATCACTTGGATATTAAACAAAGCAACTCTCTCAGAAGGATCGTGATGGTCGTTTATTGGCTTCTGAAGAAGAGTTTGCGGGCTTCTCATCTCTTGGTGAAGATTCTCCCTTGGAAGACTGGGAGGTTGTTCTCTCCTACATGGTAAATACGTGACAACATGTTAACATGAAAACTAACAGGACAAAAATTATAAAGGGGTTAAAAACATTAACAAAGTGAAGATGATGAAATTGTGGCAGCGTATTTAATCTATTTTCATAAACTGATATATGCTTTGAAATCTTTAATCTTTTAGCTTCCTAAAGTTTTTTTTTTACCTTTCGTACAAATATAAAATTAATTTTAGTCATTGCATTTAACCTTAAAAGTGCTGCTATCGCTATCAGAAATTGTCACATTTACTGTACAACAAAAATGTATATTTGCTTTACATGCTTTTATCTTGTGAAATAATAAATCTGTTTTCCACATGGAAAACACAAAAAACCAGCACTGAATATAATGAAACTCCTTTTTCTGGATGGATCTCAGTGGGTCCCTGTAGGGACCCACTGAACTATCCACACCGAGATAGTTCCACAAATAAGTCACGTCAGCCTCAGGAGTCTTTAATAGCCTAACGAACACCAGAACCAGAACCTAGCAACCCCGTCCCCCATCCCTCACAGGAGTATAAGATTCTAAAGAAAACAGACAACTGCAAGGTTCACAGAAAAATAAATGAGACAACAAAGAGTGCAAACAATCCACCTAATAGATTGACTCCCCTAGTTAAAGCTGACTATCACCATGTGGCAGCACCATTGCATGCTACCAGCTCTCCATGTTAACAATCCTCATTCTGGAACCTAAGAAAAAAACAAACCGACGTTTGTTTTAACTGTACCTGGACATGGAAGGTATCTAGCTACCAAGGCCCACACAAAGTGAGGTAGTACTTCATTATATTCAATGTTAGTATCCTGGAAGGACAAAATGGTGGATCCCAGTAATTAACCAAATAGAAAAATAAATCCAGACTTACCAGGAAGAAAAAGTGAATATCACACCCCCGAAGAGGAGAGACCACATGGGCTCTCTCTTTAACAATGTTAAATGTCAAAATTATATTATACCCTCAAAACTTCCCCCTTTCTTAACTCTTCTCCAAATCCTTTCAACTCTCCTCCCCCTCACAATATACTACCCTCGGAGAAATCATCCACACCAGGAGGGTGATTATGGAGTTCGTAAGTGAGAATACAAAAAAATCTACCTTTAAAAAGATGTGCATACCTAGAGGAAATTACAGAGGGAATAAACCCATTCATTTATTGTTCCCATAACTTATGCATTTTAAGTATTTTGCATTCCTTTATCTTTTCTTGAATACACTTGTGCAGTTCTCATTTTTCCCTAAATTTGACTTATTACTCAAACCTATGATTTTGATGTTGCTCTAAATATCTAAGATACTTGGAGTTGAATTATATGGGAAGAGATTGAAACCAAGCTAGGAAGGGGACTCTTAAGAGGAAAAATTAATAGAAAATCTGCTGTGTAAGAGCTTTAACATACAAGCCTATTTAATTTGTTAAAATAATGTAATTAAAATCACTGTCATCATGACACTGTATGATGGATAGTGCAACTAATACAGCTATTTATTCATCTTACCTTGCTAGTTGTGGCAGCTTCCTTTGGATCTTTTAATAATTTCTGTGCTGGTTTCCTAATTACTCGTGGTTTGAGGGTCAAGCGGTTGACCGAGCTTACATTCCTGGGCTTCTTGATAATCCTGCGAATTGTAGCAGTGCTTCCAGGTTTGCGGTTTTCATCACCACCACCCCTGTCCCCTTCCTCCCCTTCTTCACGATTTGCACCACTTTCTTTATTGGAGCGGTTACTGGCTCTGCCTCCTCCAGTGCCTCCACCGCTCCTAGGTCCCCGCTTTACTGTCAAACGCTGATATTCTATAAAAAGCAAATTACATATATCTTACACATTCATCTACTTTTAATAAATAATTTTTCACATTTTAAAAATGAAAACTAACAGAAGATATATCTTATATTGTGCACTATATTTTAAATTGGTGTATACTGGCAGCAAGGTTTCTTTTAACCATGTCTCATTGAATATGACCGCATATTCTGTATTTATTATCTTCTGGTTTAGGGCTTCTATCCCTCTATTATTCTTGCATCAATTATTCTATTATTCTGATGCAAGAATAATAGTTTGAGGGATAGAAGCCCTAAACCAGAAGATAGTAAATACAGAATATGTGGTCATATTCAATGAGATATATTTTAAATCTACATATTTACTGTACATTATTGAATATTAACTTTAATGTGAAAGTTATTTTCATTATGTTGTTATGCTTTTCAATCTGTACAATTTCATATTTCAATATTATTATTACAAATATATTAGTTATAAAGTAATTTTCCCATACTTTTTAGTATCTTATTTCTCTTGACTGGTAGAGCTCTTCTCCGAGCCTTGTATCCTCCCAACCTTTTCTTGGGGTCACCCAACCGAGATCTTTTAACCAGGGTCGACCTTTCACTTGATCTGGCAGTTCGTCTAGCAAGAAGACGAGACCTACCGGGTGACAGTGGACGCTTACTTCCTTCAGACTTACGAGATTCAATCCAAAGTCTTAGATCATCTGGACGTCTAGAGAAATTAAATTTTAATTAATTAGGAAAAATAAGTATCAATAAAATATTGCTATAAACACAGATCATTGGGAATGGTTTAATTATCTACGATATATTCAGCTGTTCTGCTCTTTAAGATACAAAGTATAATGTTCCCCATACGATTTATGACAGGAGCATCAAATACTGTATTTGTTGATGAACAGTAAATTTTTAATTCTCAGAGGATCAACCAGGGAACATCAATGTACCAGGTAAGATTTGGACAATGAAATGATGAAAAAGGTTCCACTAGCAAGTTAAATCTACTTTCCTTCAGTATAGTACAGTGCAACCCTGATTTACCAGTTCCCTATTCAACAAATTCCTATTTTTGGATTAACTGGAAAAATGTATTAGATTTATTGTTGTAATTTTATATACAGTATTATAAATATAAAAAATATACAACCCCTAACTAAATAACCTATCACAGGAATTTCATGATGAATGAAGTGAAAGATAACATGAGAAAAATTCTATGTGCAACAAGAGAGTTGCAGATTGTCTCAAATCATTCTCAAAATAGTTCCTGCCAATTCCATTACCACTGCCTTACTTCCCTGTCAATCCCCCTTCATGTCTTTACACACACTTCCAACCTATCTACACAATTTTATCCTAAAGATAAACAAAAACTCCTCAATACTGTACTGAACATGACAAGAGTAATGTCAGGATGTATAGTTGACACAGACAAAGATGGAAGATAATGTTTATTAACCTTTAGAATTAATAAAAATGTAATAATGCAAATATAGAAAGAAAAAAAAAAAGGGGGAAAGTTAACGTGTAACAGCGTTGGTGTGGAAGACGCCTGAAACTCTCTTACCATCAATCTTCTCTAGTCTCCCAAATTTATTAATCTGACTTTTGCCTCATTGGACAAATCGTAAAACTGATTGAGCTGGATAATCTGGACTGCACTATACATTTCCAAATAAGCAAGAAACTTAAGTGCTGATGCCTACACTGCCACTACTGCAGTGGAAACATGCATGTTGAAATTTGAGTGAAATTTTTAAAATTACATTTAGATACTGGCATGTAGAAATAAAATTAACTCATTCCCAAAAATGCCAGGGGGCAACATCACCATAAAACAATACTGCATAACAAGTTTAACAAACTTTAGTTAAACCGAGCATGACAATAACAAGATAAATCCCCTTTTGCAGCGAGGAAGGGAGTGAAGGAGCCGAGAAAACCTTTCTTGTTTATACGAAGGTTATCTAATGGGGAACTAAAACTTCAAGGAGGTTACAGATTCTATAAGACAATACTAATAGAAAAATAGAGGGCTTTCTCCCGACTCTTCACACCCCTCCTCACAATTTTGGCAGAAAAAAAGATGGACCATGAATCCTCATGCCAAACTGAAAGACTTGCAAAGAAATTTAACAGAAGAATATGAAACAAACAATCTTATTACTACCACTTACTACTAACAATGCTACCATTACAGGCTAGTTAGTCTGTGAATGCAACAATCTCCTGGTTGTACCATGCTTTATGCAAAGGAAAACATTAGTTCTTATCAAGAAATACTAATCAAAGTACTACGGTATCTGAGAAACACTAAATATCATCCACCATTGTAAGACCTGAGGAAGATGACGATCTTAACCAGAGGTTTATATTATGAATATCAATTTTAAAACTAGTTTTCACTATGAGAGAAGAATTAAATTAAAATTTTATATTTTTTTTTCATTTTCTATGGATCTTTATCATTGTTCCCCTCATTTGTAAATTTCATACAACTATTTCTCATTGGTAACTCGTGTAGTACCTCAAGTAGTTATAGATGGTAACATTTTCAAGGTCTTGTCTCCTCACAAGTGTAAGTACTGAGTGGAGCCACACCTGCTTATTCTGGTGAATGGGTGCTGCAAATGACGTGTGTTTTTGATGTGGAGAATACTGTCCTTGCATTCTCTACTTGTCTGTCTTTGGATTTCCTCTCTATTCACCCCCATCCTCTTCAGTTGTCATGATCATAAAAATGATGTATTAAATTGTCTGAACCTAACCTAAGACCCAAGAATAGAAAGCAGGACAGTCTCTCAATTTTGCAAGCACTATGGTTTACAGCATGTCTGCAGGGCCTGACAGCTGAGTGGACAGCGCTTCGAATTAGTAGTCCCAAGGTTTCGGGTTACATCCCTGGTGGAGACGGAAACAAATGGGCAGTTTCTTTCACCCTGATGTCCCTATTCACCAAGCAGTAAATAGGTACCTGGGAGTTAGACAGCTGCTACAGGCTGCTTCCTGGAGGTGTGTAACAAAAAGGAGGCATGGACTGGACTGCGGAGACGCTAAGCCCCGAAATCATCTCAAAATAATCTATCGTCATATTTTGGCCAATGGAGATTTATACATTTAAATGCAATGTACTATTTGAGAAGACAGGTTGCCCTATATTCCTCTGAAGTTTCTAAGTAACATACACTCCATTGTACTTCAGTCTATCCCCAGTTCAATTCTTTTCTATTAGCAGTGTACATATTTTACTCTAAGTACTGGTCTGAAGAGAGAGTTTCACTGGTCGTAGCCATCTTTACCAAGATCTCACATTTTCAGCAAACATTTTAAACTTTACTGACTCAAATTTTGTTGAGGATTCCAATTATCTTTTACAAATTGCCCACTCATAATTTACAAATAATGGTGGATTTCTGCCTCTCCAATGCCATTATTATATTTTTGTCAGCTTCCCATAAGCAGCCAATGTTATCCTGTTTATTTGAGCTTCTAGTGTTTGTCGTGGGATTATTGTGCTGTGGGGTTAACAATTTAACTTGTGATAAAACTCTGCTCACTTTAATTACAGCTTTCAAAAAACAAAATAATTATAAAATAAGTATACAGTACATCTGTATTATTGGCTTATTTTTTTGCAGTACTGTATCTAAAATATTAGCCGACACATCCTCCTCCTTTTCTGGGGGGAGCCCTCTGGTGAATACTTGAAGCTATGTTGCTGATACAAATTCCCAATACTTAGTTACATCAGTACATAGAGATGATATTCTACTGGAGACCAAAGTTAGAGAACCGGGTCCCCCTTCAATAGGCACAGGGAGGAGGGGATTGTTATGATCATCCTCACCTAGAAAACAGATGAAATAATACAAAGCAACTGCTTGGTTCATGGAAACAAAGCTCCGAAACAGCCAACAGACACCACAAAAGAATCACTCAAAATGAAATGGTTCAATCAAAACTGGGTATGAAATAACTACCACTGCACCCACGTGCCAAGCAGCCAGGCAATGGCCAGTCCATTGCTAATGAGCCATGATCTGATGCACCTTGTAGATGGGAGGGAGGGAAGGTGCTACTGGGGATTACCCAGAATGGGGCATTTTCAGCTCATCCTCATAAACAAAGGCCAAAGTCCATTCCAGGGCAGTACAAGTTTAAATGGGACCAGGGACATTGACAAAATAATTAGCAAACAGGACCTATTAGATCTCAAAACCCGTGAGCCCAAACATTAGATCACAGCATACATATTAGCAAAAACAGCAGCCAAGGCCATGAAATTATGAACATCACGTCTCAAGAGTAGACTGCAAGCTGGCTAGCTTTAAACCCTAGACTGTACCCCTGCTGATACAAGACTGATTTATCACCCTTGCTGCAGGTGACAAAAAAAAAAAAAAAAAAAAAAAAAAAAAAAAAAAAAAAATTCTTTCTTTTCTTTCTAATATTGTTAAAATGCATTCTCTGATCATTGGGGGGTGGAGGATTATGCAACACTGTGGCTGTGATGAAGTGAGGAAATCTCACAATGACATCATGATTTTTCACTCATTCATGGAGCAAATGCCCAGCTACTGAGGGAACCAGCACTGAACATTAACAAGGCCAATAGGGATTGATTTGATCCATTTAACTGGATAATATCTACAGATAACAGGTGCATAGACAGTTTCATGGCTATATACCCTAAATCTATTTCAGTTACAAGGGAATCAAATTACGCCAACATTTGATACACCTTACCTGCTTCTCTTCTTATCTCGGGGTGACAGAGGTCTGCGAGATACTCTAGGTCTTGCTACTGGACTTCTTCTAGTGGTCTGAATAATAGGTGTAGGCCCCAACCTGTCTTCAATTCTCCTGTTTCTATCTCTTTCTCTACTTCCTTCTCTTCTTCTGTCCCTGGATGCATCTCCACGAACACTGCGTCCCACAGGAGAGCGTTGGTTCCTTTCGTCACGTGAACGGTCCTTCTGGAGAGTTTGATTCGAGCTAGAATGTTCGGCATTCTTGCCCCAGCTCCTAACATCACTGTTACGATAATCAGAATCGCGTTCTCCGGGTCTTAATCGTTTCACAGATTCAGTATCGTGTGTTCTTTCACGCGAGCTAAGCCTTCTGTCTGGTTCTTTTCTCTTATCCCTTTCACTTCTGCTCCTATCACTTCCTCTTCTGTCAGCAACACTTCTGCTATCTCTACTGGGGCTCCTGGCTGTACCAGAGGTGCCAGCTTTGCTGTTATACCTACCAAAAATATAAAATGATTAGAAATTTGTTATATTCTGAGAATTTTTCTACAAAATTTTTATTACACCCCATTCTGACACTCACCTCAATTCAGATGCTATCAGCAGCAGCATCAAGACTGAGAATACTTTAGCAGATTTAAAGCAATACAATTTTAACACATTCTCAGATTATAGTAATGAGTAGTGGCTTAAAAAAATTAGGTAATAACCACTTTAAATTTGGTGCCCGTCAAATCGTGATATTGGGTTGTATATTATACATTATGTGTTCCTTAATAACTCCCTTTACAGACTTTCAACTTTACACAATCAATTTCTCTTGCAGGCTTGCAGTACTACATAATCAAATTCTAATGTTACACAATTACATTATCTTATTTGTTAATATTCCTCTCTCAACTAACTTCCATTTCTTTATAACAAATTAAAATAAAGATACTTCAAGACATATCCCAGTTTTACAACAATGTGATCGCTATATTATTTATAATTTAAAACAAATCTGACAGCCCATTCACAAAACAAAAGCCAAAAATTCATCTCCTACTTCAATTGGCATTATCAGACTTTCCAGTCAAGGAGGTGCCTGTGCCTCTACAGTCACTAAATCAAGGCTCACACTTTGCTCAAGGTTATTTAATTATTCTTTGCAACTTGAAAATAAAATAAGGTAGTAACTCTTAGGCTTCATGGAAAATATTCTGATATGGTTGCAGGGTACAAATAAAAGTTAGTCAGAGTATTGGTTAAAATATACATTAATTTCTTACAAGTCATGTAAGATTTATCAATAAAATAAGCATGTCATAGTTATTTCCAAACCTCTCCTTAGATCTGGTATGTTCAAAGCTTCGCTCTCGACTGCTCTTTTGTCCTCTTAGGTATGGAGATGGAGGTCTTCTGGTCGGAGGAGAGGGGGGCCGGCGAGGAGACGTTACACGTCTTAAGGGAGATGGGGAACGGTACTGCGTTGAGACAGTAGGCTGCAGTGGTGGACTCCTCCTGGTGCTTGACGTGTTGTATCCTATTAACAGGGAAACAAACAATTAAACCTTTAAGCATAGTCTAAACTTTATCAGTACATACCACCACAAATGATCCATCTTCTACAATTATTTTTTTAAACCGACTACCACAACACATTTATTTTTCATACCTTACTTAAGTTTAACTTTATTTTTAGAATAAACACTATAAATAGCAATACAGGTACAGTATTATAATTCAGACTGAAATCCCACATTATCTTTACACACGGAAAAGTGCGTCCGAGATCATCTCTGACGTAGGTTCGAACCTTCATCACGGCCCTTGTGGACTTGTTTACATTATCTTTGTTCCCCGCAGTCAGTCAGATGCATCAGTACAGGTATTATAAAATACAGCCCAAGTGAATGGAAAGTACAAGTATTATACCTGTTATGGCAGAACTAACAATTAACGCTAAAAGAGAAGACTACATTTTTGCACTGACTTCTAGGACTTCCAGTTGTGTATCTTGGGTAACTTCTTGTAACCAAAGGTTGTGGGGATGGTGGTGAAGGTGGCCGAGCATGGGGTGAAGACGGGCGAAGATCACGTGGGTATTGTCCTGGGGGGCCATACACCACACTGTCACCGATCACATATCTGAAAATTAAATAACAATTTAATAGAATCACCAATGAAGAATATAATATTTTATTAGTGCTTTACACACACACACACAATTAGACACACACATACATACATACATATATCAGACATAGTACTTTTGCCTATCCCAAATTCTCTCATAATGATTCCGTCTGCACTGCCATTTTCACAAAGCTCAATGACTAAGGTTATCTGCTATCAGATGACTAAGGTTATCTGCTATCAGATTGCTACTGCTATCAAATTTTCTTGGGAAAACATTATCGAAGTTTGTATTACAGGAAAAATGTCGGAAAAAGAAAAGCGTTTTATTAGTGTGCCATGTTGTCGTCTCACACAAGGGAAGAAACACAGATGGGCAAGTTCACAGGGATCAGAATGGGCCCACTTTGAGCACAATGTGTGGGCTGCCAGATGAAAAAAAATCCAGGTAAGACTTAAAGACTCCTTTCGAAGTGGCACGTTGGAGCTCACAGTTCTCGAAAAATTCTCACTTACTACTCGTTGATTGGTCATAGGGTGCCTCGGAATGTCGTCACAGGACAAGCTTGCCAGAGCCTTGAGACACTTTAATGAGAAGGAGAGATGTCGAGGGAAGTGTATGATTGCTTTCACATTTGTTTGGTGCTAAGCTAATTGCCAACTATTATCAAAGAATGTTTTAGATGTTTTGTGACATTTATTTTACATGCACATTATTATCTTGGTAGTTGATAGAGAGGCAAGTAACATTGAAATGGTGCTGCTCTTGTTGGGCTGAGTGTGTCACAGAAGCCCATCATATCTGTTGTAATGCTATAACACAAGAACAATACAGGAAGCTGCCTAGATGCATCCCAGATAGGAAAGCTTCATACCCAGTGCTCATTTATACAATCACTGTGCTACACATTATCACACAACTATCATAAGGGTGATAATTGAGAATGGGAAAAAGAGTGAAATTGGGTACTTTTAAGTTTGACATTTGAGAATAGATGATTTACAGGTCAATAGTTTATATGGGAGATAAAAATTGGGATTTAAAGAAAGGTGAAAAGATTGGGTAAGAAGTATGAATGATAGATGTCATTCTGAAGATATACATAGTATAATCATGCAATGCAGTCAGCTCGTAACTGATTAGATCAGAGTTCAATTTCCTGTCAAGGCAACACACGGGTAAGTTTCGTTATACTGTACACGAAGCCTCAGTTCACATATCAATAAATTGTTACACAACACTTGTTAAACTCTCAGGAAAGTAATTATCAAAAGAAGGCACCAAATCGGGAAGACTATGTAATACAACTGTTGTGTGTTGCATCCTTGGGAAGGTCAATCACTGGCCTGGGAGGATGGCCTTACAGGATTCCTGTCCCCATCAAGAAGCAATATAGTTCACTAGAAAAAAATAAACACCATTAATACCCAAATACTGTAAATAAAGTTGTGAAAACACTTCTAACCTGTCCAGATACTGACGTCCAGGAGAGCGTGCTGGTGGAGAGTACTGATCGTAGTCTCCATAGCCCCCACCAACTTGTAGAGGTGATCTGGAAATATATCCAATAAATTCTGGTGTCCAAAAGATAGCAAATAATAGAATGGACATAAAGATAAAAATGAGAAGATCACAACAAAGAGGGGTATTACAGCACACTAATAACCAAATTAATGAAAAAGAGGAAAAGGAAAGATGATTTAAGTAAAACTACAGATGGATGAGTAAGTAGGTACGAGAGGGAGAGGGAGGGAGGCTGTGCGGACACCAAGGCCGTCCAGTCTTACGGGGAGGGTTGCTTGCTCCCACTGAGAGTCGTCCAATGGCAGGTTCAGATTTATGTGGATGGAGTATCACATTGGGAAGGACTAAGGGCAAAGGAAATAGAAAGACCTTTACATGAAAGGTGTCTTAAACAAAAGTTAATGAAGAACCATGCAAAAAATAAACATGCCATTAGTGTCCCAACTCATCAAACATTTAAAGGAGAGTCAACAAGTAGAATTTCTAAAGCATCTATAATAATAATAAAGTAAAGAATTACTTTAGAGTATTTAATGCAAGAAGTTTATGCATTTATTATTTTAGCTTGGTGAGCAGCAAGAGGAAATAAGCACACAGCATCACTAATATGCACAGTAACAGTATAAATGTTGTGCCTTATAGGAATGGACTCAACTTGTCACCAATTACAATACTTTAAATGAATATTTATAAATTTAGCAAATAAGAGATGCAAGTTATGTACAGAGGAAATATCATGCAGGATATGAAGTCCCATGTCTACAATCTTGTGGAATATACCACATATGTTAAACATTTATGACAACACAAATGGAAGGGCATGAAATATAAGCATACTTATATAATAGTTGTGCTTATTAAGTGCACTAGAGATCTATAGCACTAACACGTACATCTATGCTAAATAAATATCACCAATACTGATACACAACACCAACTAAAGGCAAGATTTTCACTTACAGACTATTTATATTATCTAGATCCACATGTACACCAAGCAATCAAGTACATACAGTAATGCATAAATCATAAATGTATTATTAATAAAGCCTACACATTTCTTTCAAAATTAGTGAATTAATTTATTTGCAATTACAAATGCATTTATAAAAGTGTCAAAATTTTAAATTATAATTTCATTATAAGACATATTTAACTTGTCTCATGCTATGCAACCGAGAAAATGGCAAAGCCAATATACTGAAGCTTTATTCTAGACTTTAAGTGACTATCACAAGAACTCATTAATACTTAACTGCTCACTAACATTCTTATTTTCAGGCTTTTATTTATTTTTTTGACCTATGCTATATCATATGACACTGTAGAGATAAGTACTGGTTTCAAAAGAGGACCATGAAGTTACCACTTACCAAACTCCTTTTAATATACAGTACAGTACATGAATTTTGTTCTGAATCCAAGGAAACCATAACTGTAAAAAGATAGTTTAAAACCTCTCGAATTGTACATAGTAAACCTGCAAGAACATAAGATGATGTGTACCAATTTCAAATTTACGCTAACTATGCCCTTGCTCTGAGAACCTGCCAATTCCAAAGTCAACCTTGCCAAATTCCACAAGGAAATAGGAGTGCATAAGAGGACTAGACACACTTTGAAGGTCTTATCAAAATAGACAGCTACACTGATGTGTTACTAGAATGAAAATATAGATTTGTCTATTGTACATAAAATACTGTACAATTTTCCAGCAGTGACTGTGGGTTATGTACCAGTGTTTCCCAGCAGTGACTGTGGGTTATGTACCAGTGTTTCCCAGCAGTGACTGTGGGTTATGTACCAGTGTTTCCCAGCAGTGACTGTGGGTTATGTACCAGTGTTTCCCAGCAGTGACTGTGGGTTATGTACCAGTGTTTCCCAGCAGTGACTGTGGGTTATGTACCAGTGTTTCCCAGCAGTGACTATGGGTCATGTACCAGTGTTTCCCAGCAGTGACTGTGGGTCATGTACCAGTGTTTCCCAGCAGTGACTGTGGGTTATGTACCAGTGTTTCCCAGCAGTGACTGTGGGTTATGTACCAGTGTTTCCCAGCAGTGACTGTGGGTCATGTACCAGTGTTTCCCAGCAGTGACTGTGGGTTATGTACCAGTGTTTCCCAGCAGTGACTGTGGGTTATGTACCAGTGTTTCCCAGCAGTGACTGTGGGTTATGTACCAGTGTTTCCCAGCAGTGACTGTGGGTTATGTACCAGTGTTTCCCAGCAGTGACTGTGGGTTATGTACCAGTGTTTCCCAGCAGTGACTGTGGGTTATGTACCAGTGTTTCCCAGCAGTGACTGTGGGTTATGTACCAGTGTTTCCCAGCAGTGACTGTGGGTTATGTACCAGTGTTTCCCAGCAGTGACTGTGGGTTATGTACCAGTGTTTCCCAGCAGTGACTGTGGGTTATGTACCAGTGTTTCCCAGCAGTGACTGTGGGTTATGTACCAGTGTTTCCCAGCAGTGACTGTGGGTTATGTACCAGTGTTTCCCAGCAGTGACTGTGGGTTATGTACCAGTGTTTCCCAGCAGTGACTGTGGGTTATGTACCAGTGTTTCCCAGCAGTGACTGTGGGTCATGTACCAGTGTTTCCCAGCAGTGACTGTGGGTTATATACCAGTGTTTCCCAGCAGTGACTGTGGGAATGTATCAGTAGATCTCTGCAGTTGTGGGTGGGAGGCCGGGGGGGGGGGGGGTTTGCACATGAAAGGAAAATGAAAGATTTTGCCTGTGTATTAGGGATGAATAAAAATGGGTGGGAGCGAGGGCCGAGTGTATGGGTTATATAATTTTCATTAAGGAAAACATTTTGGGTGCTCACAAATTATTAGGAATATGCAGTCGATGAGTCACAATAATGTGCCTGAAGATCTAGTGACCAAACCACGCATCAGAAAATAAAGAAAAAGATGTTTCAGACCGTCCTGGACCATTATTCTTCTATCACACGACTGTTTATTTTGTATATTTTTTTACCATCCTTCGGCTTTCTTACTCTCCTTTTTCATCATTTCTCTGATTTAGTCCTGCTGCTGTACAAGTTGGTTCTTTAGACTAACAACAATTTCAAACAATAGCCTGTCCATCTGCTTCCAGATGTGTCATTCATTTTCTTACACAATTATTAATCTCTTGCGGTTTGTGTGTACGTGTTTGTTTGATAACTTCAACTGCCTAACCACAATTTATTAACATTCCCAGCTCAATAACTGTTCTCAGAGCAATTACAGTACAGGTATATGGAATATGGGAAATACAGTTGTAAATTAAAATGATTTTACTTTATATTTCCACCCATTCCCAAGATTCTTATTTATATAATTTCTTAAATTCCTTTTATTTTTTGCCACAACCTAGAAATTTCAGTGTGCATAAGAAAGCAATAATGATACTATGAGCAAATGTTGTATAATAAAATGAGTTTTTAGTTTAAAAAGTTACCTTGGGAACATTCAAATCTTCAAGGACTATGAGGATGGCATCTCCATGACACTTAATGAAATCAATAATCATCAGCCTACAAAGCTGCACTAATCTCGATGTAATACCTTCGAGAAACCTAAACAAAAAAATTCAGTCTCTGAACTTCAGACCATTAATTCAAATATAAGGCAAACTCATTCTTACAAAACTGTCTACTAAAGCCCAGATGTTATACAAGGATTTTATATCGTAGCTATAAAATCATTGCAATATTGCACCAGCAAATGTCATTAGACTTCTAACAGTTAGTTTGTTATTTTTTGGACTGTGATGCAGTACCAAATTTGTTTAAATGTATGATTTTTTATATTCAAATTATCCATTTCCCTTCACCCCCCCCCAAGCAATTTTGAAATCATACAGTACTCAGTATGCTAAACAAAATGTATTCTGTCATTTGTACGAACAAAATAATTGAGAATAAAACTGTGATAACTTGTACAGTAGAATGGATACAGAGTAAAGTCCCTTTTACTGTGGAAGAGATACGGTATGAATTGGTTCATTAAAGCATGACTACTGTATACCACAGGCTAATTTTTACATCCCAAAAGTAAAATGTTAAATTTAAATATGCTAGCTAACAAATGTATAAAGAAGTTTGCCAATACATAAATTTATATTTACAACTCTTGCAGTCTGGGTAATCTTTAAAATATTGAACGGTCCCACCTGCCAGTGCGTGGTGGAGTGTAGTCTCGATAAGGTCGTCGATCATCATCAGGGTAAACCCTTGTCCTTGTTCCTGGCTTGCCATCATAGCCTACAGTGCTCAGCTTATCTCTGGGATAGGCACTCCCCCCACCACCATGCTTCTCCACACCATAGCCACCTCCACCTCTGCCCAATTTGTCTCCTCCATAACTAAGCCCTCCAAGCTTTTCTCCTCCATATCCACCCATGCCTCCCCTTCCTCCATATTTATCACCATAACTTGCCAATGGCATGCCGTGTTTGGCGCCACTATAGCCCCCAGCAACATGCCTGTCGCCACCATAAGCATCATAAGAGGCGTAAGCATCATAAGAATTAGTGGCGGCTCCATAATAGGCTTCACTTTCATGTCTGGGATATCTGCTTGTCTTTTCAGGATAGGCATCATAATCAGCAGCAAACTTCTTCCCAGGAAATTTATCAGTGTAAGGGGCACTTGTAGGGTATTTTTCAGTATACCGTCCTTTATCGGGATAACTACTTACATAAGCATTGTCCTTTTCATTAAACCTATCACTGGAGTAACCAATATCTCTGGGCTTGTATATATCACTACCATACACATCACTTTTACCCACAAACTTATTATTTGGCACTTTATCACCTATTTTTCTCACCGAAGCACTTTTATATTTGTCGTCAGCATATGGCTTGGAGGATGGGTAGGAGGAGGGTTTCGTGAACGGCTTGTCATATTTATCATACGGCCGTTCCTCGTAAGATTTTGGGGGTGCAGACTTGGAGGATGTGGCAGAGGTTGAAGGTCCTCTAGTGGATGGTTTTCGAGGCCCTTGGGTAGGGGGAGGACCAGGAGGAGTGCGTGGACGACTGTATCTCTCAGACATCCTGAGGATCACCCTAGAATATTATCAAATGGCTTAATTCTATATACTGGTAATGGTTTTTAACAAACAGCATCTTTATATAAATACACACGTTCATTCATCCACCTATCTGTCTACCCTTCCCACCTTCCAATGTCTGCCTCTCTTCACACTTATGACAATTATTTTTGTCTTTGAAATATATATTTAAAATTCTTTAGGCTACAATTCAGACTAATAACCAAATTTTTGAGGGTGTGACAACTTTGGCTATAGGTAGAATCTTTCCCTATCATTTGAAGCATTCAAAATTTTGGAAATATGAAATTTTTCTAACATACTTCAGTACTAGATATTAAGTCCAAAAACAATTTGCAAACAATATTTTTTAATTTTGTTTTACAAATACAAACTAATAGTCATTAGATAGATATTTTAGGATGAAAAATATAAACAGAATTTATAAATGGTTAAATGATTAAGCCTAAAACTTGAGATAGGTAATCATTACCTGAAGTCAGATTGCCAAAGTAAGGTGTACTGTTGGTGACTTAAACGGTGTCTTCTATTTCATTGGTATGTATTTCCTTTACATGCTGAAAGTGTGGCAGAAATCAGCACTCCACACACTAAAGTGAGGGGAGCAGAGCTCACACCACTCTGAAAGGAACAGGCGTGTGTCAGAACTGGACCGGATGGAAGCGTAGGACGTGGCTGAAGGAGTACTGCCACCAACACTGGTATCCTAGGTTGGCGACGAAATATTCCAAGGATGAACTGTTTCCTGCCACAGCAAGCCAGGCCAGGCCAGACCTGGCGGATAATGATGGGGGGAGACTCGGCAGGCAGTCCCCGAGGCTCCCGTAGACTCTTGAATGGCACCTGTCATGGGCATCAGAAAGTGCACTAAGCTGCCTGGACTTGCAGCTACCACCCTTGGGCACTATAAGCTGCTAAAGTCCAGGCAAAATGGCACCACGTGCATAACACATGGGCTAGCATCACTCATCATCACTTCACACTCCACACTACAGACAGATACAAAATACATATCTTTAAAACTGCACCTTTTTCCCATACGTTAGTATTATATTATTTCACATAAAAACCCCGAAATCACTCCGCATAAACTTCCTCTTTTCTCGGACGGGAAATACGAAAGCGTAAAATATTAAACACAAGAACACTGTATAATTCTTGTCGTGCAACATTCACCACCATCCTTTCTGCCGCATGATGATTTATCCAAATGATGGCGAGAACTTAATATAATGGCAAAACAACTGTTAGTTGACAAAGATGGAAGGAGTTTAAAAAAATAATAAACAAAAAATAAATAATTACTGACACCAGTACCTAAAGTAATTTGATATGCCAACAATGTTGACTTCCTCCATGCCCATAGGAGTATAATACATACTAAGTCTTATGCATTCTGCATCTAGATTATACCTTTTAATAGACAGAAGAAAGCAAATACCACAGTAAGTTAATCAGTGAGTTGTATGTGCTTAAGCCAACCAGCTTTCTTATCAATGTCCATGTAGTCTAAACATTTCACGAGTAATCATTTTAAACAATCACAACGTATGTAGAGATGTTGTGATGACATATACACTGAATACAATGGTGACAAACTTTACAACATAATGACTACGAGCCTTCATCTGCTGGCCTGCACCTAGGTCTCAAATTACAAATTGCTGAAGATATGGCAACATCTTTTTGAAAAAATCTACATGAGTTTTGTTTAATGTAATTGCATTTACTACCTAGAACTAAATACAGTAGAACCTCGAGTGATGAGCTCCTCAATTTACAAGCAATTTGAATAACGAGGGCACCGATCGCCGACAATTTGTCTCGATTGGCGAGCGTTCATTTGATTAACGAGAAAAACCCACATGGTGTGTTCCCACCGGTTCTCGCAAATTCTCAGACACCTCTGACAATGCAAATAACTTTTTTTTTTTGTTTTAAAGATGCTAATGATGCTGGGATGTAAAGGGGTGACTACTGTAATGCTGCAAAGCATTGATTTTTGTTTTTTTTAGACAAAATTAGAAAAGAAAATCGAAAAAATTTGAAAAATTAACAAATGTCAAAAATGTTCATTAAGTGACTGTCAGGTAGGCTGCTCCATTATTTACAAAATCGAATATCACATTCTTGTTTTTCAGTGGTAGAACGGATTATTTTTATTTCCATTATTTTAAATGCGGAAATTCGTTTTGAAAGACGAGCGTTTCACATGACGAGCCAAGTGCCGGAACGGATTAAATCTGTTAATCGAGGTTCCACCGTACAGTATATATTTGTTTATACTGGCAAAAGTTTCAATTAAACATTGCTAAAGTTGACTGATAAAATTATCAAATTTTAAGAAGCAATTTCCAAGAGATGTTAATTACACTGTACAATATACTTTGTATAAAATAACTAGTACATTTTGATGCACAAGTCATTATATTAATTTCTATAAATTGTGTTATGAACACTAATATGTTATGAATAAAAAGTTGCCTTATTAGGTACAGTACACTGTGCCATTTTAAGAGCCGGTGAGAGGTACGCGAGATATACGAGACTAAACCAGAAGATGAATGCTTCTATGCAAAGCTGAACCAAATATGGCCAGCGTGCCTTTGATTTACAGTTATGACGATTTGCTATGTAATCTTGTTTAATAAGAGTACTTTGCTTTATCTAGGATATTAAAGTTCTTTAAAGAATTTAATATAAAAAGAAATTAATAAAATAAGCTGATGAAAGAAAACTTAGTAAAAAATTAACTAATGAAAGGCTTTTGACTTTCGACAGTAGCACATGATCTGGGCATGAAAGTTATGAAAACTTGATGTTAAAGATGCTGTGTTAGTAAGATTCACCACCTTGGGATTAAAAAGCTCAACTACTCGTCTAACACCTTGTAATAAAACCCGATTTCAGAGTTATCAAACTGTCATTCTGCCTATACAATATTTCCAATTTAATTAAAAAAGTACGACCTCAAAATACTGTATCTGAGAAAAGAGACATTAAATCAAAGGGGCAAAAAAATAAAAAAATAAAATAGGCAAAGTCAAAAGAAGTGCAAGGTAATCTGGATGTTTGAGGTTAAACAGTATATGGGAGGGATGCTATGTGATGACTACAACCACCAATGAGAAAATACATAGGAGATGGAGTCTTGCTCAATGCATCACGCACAGCTTGCCATGTAGGAGGGTGTCATCAGTCTTGCACATCATAGTGAGAAATGTCTTCCATGGAGCAGCATTTGAACTGGGGATACCAACTGGACAGTAGCCATGCAGCCGAAGTATAGCAATCCCTTCTGGCTGCCGTGTTCACCGCCGTGTTCGGAGATTAGTCTCCCGGTGATCCGGTGCTGAATAAACGGGCAGCGCTTATATAACAGGATGACTGGCGTATAGGTGCAACTTTCCACTGAATAAGCATTCACCCTTTCATCCTCCACAGATGTATATTATTCTCAGTATAAAGATGCCCTGCTAAAAATACGTAGGACACTTCTGACTGGGGATGCCTTCCGAGCCATGGGGTTGGGGGATTGGTAGCAGCAGCAATAATGCCACTTGAAGGTTACCTGTTTGTGCAGACAAATGGGCCCAGATGAATACGATACGACCCACTATTCATTTATTCTTGTAAAAGTTGCACAACTTGAAGGTACTGTATTTCATTATCGAACAATAGAATTCAGGAATAACGTGAAGCCTTTGTTCATACTGCCTGAATCATAAGTGCTGATTTACAATAGTAGCCATTCTGTGTATTATCACCCACCAAGCACTGCCACACAGTGGACCTGACAGGTAAAGTCATGTTTAGTATCAGGTACAGTGTATGGTGAAAAAGGTGGAAGGTTTATGCCGTCAGTAACCGACAACGTACCCATACCGATTACCTGGTTTTAACACACATTCTGACTATACTGTTTTCAATATTGTGACAGCCAATGCTTTTCAATGAAAGTTACAGCCGACATTCCTGTCGAACCCAGGTTTGCTGGTTTGATGATCGAGGTTTCCTGTTGTACCTTGAAGCCGAGGTTCTCTGCTGATCTAATGAAAGCTTCCGAGCCTTGAGAATGATGATCTATGTTAAGGCCGAGACCAAGACTGCAGTGCTGACTCAAGGTCTGCGATGGCCAGAGTTGCTGTCCACTACCAAGCCATGGCGAGATGAAAACAGAAGTTTGGGTCAATGGTTGGCTTTGCAGAATGTGGACCCACCCAAGACAGGAGACATGCGGTGTGAGCTGGCTAGTTCCTGAGAGAGGTGGTGAGAAGAGGGTGATGTTTGGGATCAGCTGGGAAGATAGTAGGCCATGTATCAGGTAACCCCAATGAGCCCCACCAAAGGCAACTGCCAGTCAGAGTGTGGGGCTGCCCATAAGGGTGCCCCCTGGGGTAGACTGCTAGGGGGGCAACACGTGACCACGGGGGACAACCCTTCCCCGGCTGGGGTGGAGGGCAGAGCCACACCGTATATTGTTGGGCAATTGGGCATGGCTGGCCACATGGCAACCTCCTGGGAACAGAATAGTTAATTACTCAGTCTGAAAACAATTCTTAATTTCCACAAATAGTCCTCCTCACCTTAATAATTCTACTAAATTATGACTGGTGAGTATGACACTGAATTGATAACCTAATCTAATACCAACAACTATAAGAGTTCACTCCAAATTATAAATATTGCATATGCACACTTCCAGGATGTCAGTAATCAGTCATGCAACTTTTTTCTACAAAAAGCCAGTTACAGACCAGTCAGTACGTATAACAATTCAATAACATTTTATAAAACAAAAATGTCATGTCAGCCCAAGACGAGACTGACGCCACACAGTAAACTTTTGTGCTCTCCACTTATGAAACCTGCACAGCATTACCCTCATTGTTCTAAGGCAAACCAAGCTTTGCTGTTTGAGTTGCCATGCTAGTCCTCATTTATAATAATCAAATGTCTCGGTTTATTATTAATCCACCTGGATATAACGTCCCTTGCATGGATTTCTAAATGCTCAAAACTCTTCTCTATGCACTTACCTGAAGCAAATGGTAAACAAGTTAGTATTTTTGTTTAATGAAAAATAACCAATGACATAAGAACTGTGAAAATCACATTAGCCCATCTCCTCCCATCCATGGGAGGGACGGGAAACATTGGCATTTACAATCAAAACAAATATATGTTAGTTGCACATTGTACTGTCAGTTGTGTCCATATACTTTCCTTACCTTTATCCTTTTATATGGCAACCAAATTTATCAGCTCCGGCAGTACAACACACTACTCTTGGTAACAAAACCCTACACTATGTGAGAACTAGTTGAAAACAGGTTTCTAGTTTACAAGCATGAATAAAGAGTTCTCAAATTAAGTGAAGGTTACATATTACACAGATGCTATATACTTAGTACTAAGATCCTTAGTACTAAGGTCAAGGTTTGACAACTGTTGTACAGAGGTCGTCCTGCTTTATGAATCGGTCGAGACCCTTATGCTATCCAAACACCCGAATTGTCTGGATGATCTTCTGCCCACAACAAATACTAATTTTATGCCCCAAAAATACATCATAGTAATATGCAGGTTTACTAAATACTGTAAACAAAATATTAAGAGGTAAAAATAATCTAAAAATATATTATAAGGGTACAGTACTCACAAAGGCTAGGTTAAGATAATGTTCCAGCCAACACAATCTCCTCATATTTGACAAACTACTCAGCACTTTGTTCATCAGCCAACTGTTTTTCTGTGTATCTTCACTATACATACAAGATTTGATAATGTTAATTACTTTATGAACATACTTGGCCTTCTTCTCAATCAGATCCTGTTACTACTTTTTTTGTTTCAACTTGTGATTGTTTATACCACTGCTATAACGCATCACTAGGACTTTTTAATATATATATACACTATACAGTTTTTACATTCTTTTAAAGTAACTAGCACTCATAGCATTTTGGGCAGGTCCTTAGTCCAAATTTTCCCTAGAATACGACCTGCCTATTGTTAAACAACCAGGTACCCATTCACTGCTGGGTGAACAGAGGCTACATTTGAGGATTGGCACCTGGCGGGCCGTTTTATTCTCCCCAGCCAGGATACGAACCCAGGCCAAATCACTCGTGAAGCATGAGACGAGTGTTTTACCACTGCACCACCGAGACTTTTAATTATAACCTGGCTGACTTCTTTCTCTTTCGTATTGATATATGATGATAACTTTAAATATAATAAACAAATAACTTGTTTTTGCCCTCAAAATATTAAACCAGCATTGAACATAATGACATTCCAATTTCTGGGTGAGCCCAGATAGTTCCTTGAAGCTATTCACTGAGAATGTTCCCACCTACCAGGTCACATCAGCTATTTGTGTTCTTAGGCCTACTGGGACCCAGAGCCAGAACCTGACCCCCCTCTCAGAGGAGCAGGGAATGGTGATATTTTGTCACTTTGCCAGGGAAGGCCTCCAAAAAGTCAGAGTCAAAACAAAGAACAGCTGGGTTCAAGACACCAAAAGTCTCAAAACCTGCCTAATGAACTCCCCAAGTACGTAAGCAGACGATCGAAACTAGCATGTGTTCATTCATCCAACCTCCCTAATCAATTGAGGGAAGGGGGTTACTGACCTGGAGAATGTGTAGACAGTTGCTTTGGAGCAACTTGCCATTTAGAGCAAGAGATGCATAATAATTTACACTTGGGAAAATATTAAAAGGGAATGGTTTTGAATTTGCACATGGAAATATCTCTTACCAAGACACTCTCCCCCTCTAACCATAAGGAATATACTGTACTGTGACTAGCTGATCCTTCTTGGTGTTCAAAAGGTAACTTGATAGTTCCAAAGGAAACCTGATTAACTGGGATGTAATTCATAGACGAGACTGTGAACAGCGGCATCTAACAGCATTGTTAACAAGACCACCAACCAGGATGCCTGATATGAGACCAAGTCATTGGGATATTGATCCTTGCAAATTCTGTATATCGAAGAAGAAAACATGAATTTTTAAACTCATTCCAAATGAATCCAAAAATTTGTCAAATCACTATAGATTGGGCACTTCAAGGGTTAGAATCTTTACTTTCTGCCTCAAAGGTCGCCACAAAATGTTTGGAAGCCATGGTGGCAGGAGGTTTCTTATTTTTAGTAGTAGTAGTAGTAGTATAAAATGAGTAGAAGGAAAGATTATCAATTGTTGAGAGTGCACCACTAAAACAACCGACTGGGCCACAACAGAGCCCTTGGTATCACAACCCCATAGTTGGCAACCTAACAAACTAAGTAAGTCAAGGCTCAGAGGTGAGAACATGCTTGGGAGGCAGGGATGTCTAGTCAGGACCAAATATGAATAATCAAATACAACACTGGGAGTTTTAGAAAATGGGATGCCCTGTGTGAAAGATGCTCCACCAACTACTTCAAATATGCTGTTTAAGCTATTAACATACAACACTACAATCTCTCTCTCAGTCATTGTGTAAGTGTGGAGGTGTGTGTATGTGAGTGCAAGTGTGGGGTGTGCGCATGAGCTTGGACGTGTTGTGCGCATGTGTGTGCACATAGTGCATGTGTGTGTTGTGTGCTTGCATGTGCATGTTGTGTGTGCATGTGTGTTTTGACAAGTACAGTAGATACAAACAGAAAAAATCAAAGCAATTGTGTTGGGTATTCACCACTTACCATTATAGCAGAGTCTGTAACACAATATATTATTCAACTTACAGCAGGCCCTTGCTATTTGAAGAACATACACTCTCAAGACACCCACAGCGGGTAAAACTGCAAATGATGAAACTTAGCTCTTGTGGGGAATAGGGGACACATTTTGAACACAAACATAACCATACTGTATGCCACAAAATAGTAAAGTATTCTAAATGGAAGGAACAATGTGTAGGTCTATCTGGAGCCACCTAAAGTTTACTCAGGAGAACGACATCATTAACAATCAACCAAACATAAAACTAAGTGAAACTCCCAATAACTGGAAGATGCTTTACCAACATCAGATCACCTAGCACTAGATTTTACAACCCATCCTCCAAAAATGGTGGTACTGTACTTACAGCTACTATGCCTGGAATATACAAAGTATAAATTGTTGCACCAAACAGTGAACATTTTGTACTACTGTATTAAATTTCGAAAGGAACATGAAAACTGAAATATCCTAACTGTAAACCTAACCTGTCCCTAAGCCTAAAAAGGCATTCCAAGGCCTAACATGCAATCGAAGGCCGAATTTAGTACATACAAACTCAATAATACAACACATGGACCATTCTGGATGCAACAGTCAATGTTTTATTCATTCCATCCTTAGTATTTTATAAGCACTGTAATTTTGGAGGACAGGTTGTTGGCGTATAATATAGATAAATATTATGAGAAAGTGTGTTTAATCATTTGCAGGAAGAAAATTAAATATTTCCTGATACATAAGTGTTTGGTTCCAATTAATGCAATTTTATTTAGGTTACATTTAATGATAGAATACAGATTTTTTAAATATTTTTTTAACTTTGTTACAAGCAAATAGCCAAAATTGCAAATGGCAAGGGTCTGCTGTGTTTCCAGATACTGACTACTGTACTTCAAAGAAACACTAGGACTATAGGAAGCCGTTTTATATACAAGCCTATCCCTTAAACCCTTTGGCTGCTGAACATGATTTCTCAGAGTATGGTCACTTGCTATTTCCTGGTTCTGGTTTTCAGCAACTCTTAGAAAACAAATAAAATAAATCATTGAATGTAATAAATCATCCTTTCTTGACCAGACCCCAAATGGCTTTCCAAACTTTGTTCTAGTAACTGCCAAACCTCGGCAACACTAGACCTCCCGAGACCCATCTGTCGCCAACCAAAACCCAGGTAACAATGGGTACAAGGCAAGGGAAGCTTAGTTATTAGAGCTCAACCCAAAAGTAAGGAAAAAAACAGACAGAAAGCACAGATGCAAGAAAACAACCAACTGTTTGGAGGAAAGCAGAAACCTCTAGGTAAACAATTGTTGCAGCAGGATAAATACCCTGTGATGCACCTGACCACCACCAGATGGCAGCCCTGGTCACCCAAGACCTCTCTGAGGGGACCAGGTTCTGGCTCGTGGTCCCCGGTAGGCATAAGGACTCCTGTGACTGATGACCCCAAACTAATATAGCACATATAATTTTGGATAGCTTTAGAGAGCCGACGGGGCTTTCCCTAGAAAGGATATTTTTATTAAAGCCAATGCTTGATTTCCAAGAGGGACCCCCTTGGTAGCTCCCCAAGCTTACTCACAATGGAGCCTCGGTAGAAGAGATCAAATTTTCTGGAAAAGAAAAATGATTAATAAAACAGAAAAGGCAGACTGAGCTTCAACGTGGGAGATGAATGGCTGGAGAGGAAGGGCTCAGAGCAGATCAACTCAGCTATATGCCAAATGCCCAAGTTCACCAAGACCAAGAGATGACCAATTAGTAATGCAAAGCCAATACACTTGTTGGACTGGCACAAGCACAGAGTTTAGACATCAGCTGTAGACACACTAGACACAACTGTAGACACAAATATAGCCATCAAAGTTGCAAACAACCACATACAGTACTATGAGAGCAAATACACAGCCAGCTGGTCGACCCAAATCACTCTTATGAATTCCCTGAAACTAAGAAACTCTTAAAAACATGATTGACAAAATATGTCTACCGTAACAGTATATGATGCACCCTTGGCTTAATAAACCAAGCATTAATAAAAAAAACAGGAAGGTAGTCTCATTCTTTGTCAAGATTGAAAGAAGACTGCAGAGAAAACAATGCCTTGCACCAAGACCAAAAACAATGTCCCAAACAAAGCCGCCCGTCCTCATAAACAGAGCCAAATGCTCGTTCATCCAGCAGTCAAACCCCCGTTTATGATTGAAAAACATGTTTACACACGATTCGACTGATGACGTCTGAACACTTACGGAACAAATGCTTCGCTGACGACATCTGTTCGAACCATGATGTTACAAATGCTTCATCCACATACTTCCAATACAAATAATCTCCATCAGAAACTGAACACCTAACCTAACCTAACTATACATAGAATTTTAATGTTTAATAATATTAATTTATATATGAGAACAAGAGAACACCAATTTTTAAGACACGGTAGGTTATCTTGAGATATCTTGAGATGCTTTCGGGGTTTTAGTGTCCCCGCGGCCCGGTCCTCGACCAGGCCTCCACCCCCAGGAAGCAGCCCGTGACAGCTGACTAACTCCCAGGTACCTATTTACTGCTAGGTAACAGGGGCATTCAGGGTGAAAGAAACTTTTGCCCATTTGTTTCTGCCTCGTGCGGGAATCGAACCCGCGCCACAGAATTACGAGTCCTGCGCGCTATCCACCAGGCTACGAGGCCCAGTATGCTAGGCCCGGTATGTTAAAATTCATGAATGCTTCTGGGGAGGACGGCCGCTGCTTTAACCAGCCTAGTGTGAGGATGGGCCGAGTAGTATGTGTGTGAAGCTCCCTAACCTAACATACAGCAAGGACCAGGAGAAAGAGTGCCTTAAAACAATAATCCTCAACCACTGCAGAAACCCAAAAGCATGAAGAGGACAATAACTCCAAACACCCAGGCAGTTCCAAAGGAGCATAAACCGATTGTGGACAGAAAAATACAAATGAAAAATCCTTCACTTAATACTGTTGCCGCATAGGCAACAGTATTAGGTGATCCAAGGACGAGTACAGAAAGGACATCACCACAGCCACAGATACAGATGACTGATGCTGAGAAGAGGAAAATGCAGAAGACACACAAAGCTGCCTGAAAGAAACAATGCGACACCTAATGGTTTACCATCCGATTCTTATATAGGTGATGGTACACAAAGCCTAGAAACACCATATATGATCATCAGTGAAGAACCTTGAGCCCCTGAGGCAGGTCATGCCACTGATCCTATAGAAGAAGCGGAGCCTCTGGAAAGTAAGGGGGGTTGGGACAACAAAGAAGGGCTGAGAACCAGGGCTGCAATAGCCACATGGATCCCAGTAGAAGAACACAGCCCACAAAGATACTTCCTCCCATTTCCCTGTTGAGGCAGTTAACTCTGTAGGTTAACTGCCTCAACAGAAGATTAAGAGCCATGCCAAGTGTTAGACAGACATGTCAAATTGCCATCCAGATTGTCACAAACTACCATGCCATGATGAACATTTGCTGCAGGTGAGGCCACTGCTTCTGACCAGAGCCCTGACTATTTATATTTAGCACATGTGTGAATAGCTAGAGTGAGAGGATGGCACCACAACAGATACAAACCCTGAAAAATACCAAGAAAAAATGACAAAGCAGAATCCACGTTATGCAATCCAGGGACCACAACTACACAAGCCTGGATCCAGCAAAATTACACCTACAGGAAAAAGGCAACAAAGTGGAAAGTTCAGGCTGCTCAAACGTGCTGGAAAACCCCAATGAGAAAGCCGTGACCTTCACAGCACCAGCCACCTAACATCCCTACCATCAAATCGGACAGAAAGGAGTGCAAATGTTTAACTCATCACACAAGGGAACAGTACAGTACTGACAACCACAGTATGAATAGCAAGAAGTGTGGCTATTTCTGGTCTCAAAAGACCAGTTCCACAGGGAAATGAAACAAATTGAATCCCCATCCCAAGGCAGCACTAGAATGGCAGGTACATAATCTGAAAGAAGACAAAGAGCAAAGCCCTGTAGAATACACACACACACTCTTAAGTACCATCAAGACCAGGTACATCACAGTTAGAATATTTACCTGCAACAACAAATGTTTACCTTGTGTATGGGGGGATAAATTTTTTCTTCAAGGAGTTGCTTTTGTTGTTGCACTTGTTTTCTGGATTTTTTTCTTGGTTTTGGCTCGATCTCTGTACCCCCAAGCTCCCTTTGCCTAGCAGTGAGCCAGATTCTGCTTCTGGCTTCCAGGCAGTCATACTTTCCTCCACCCTGCATGTGCATCCTTGGAATCCCCTAAGTCCTGGATTTGACCCTGTGACTTCTTTCCATGTGTCACCTCTGTTCAAGAATCATTCCTTTAAGGTTTTATTTTTTGTGGTGCCCATCACATAACCATGTCGGAAGGGGTACTGCTTTGCACAAATGACTTTGCTCATTAGCATCAGGTTAAGATTTTGCTCTGCTCATTTACAGCCACCTCCCTCCTTTTTAGACAAGAATGAGTCATCTGCTTTTCACCTTGGGTCAACTGTCGATCAGATTCTAATTTACTTGCTCATCTGCACATCATACCTCAAGTCTCAAGGCTGCCTTGTGGATTTTTCTGTGGGCTTCTTGGGTTTCACACTTATCTTGAGCAGTAAGACTTATATTGTATGTACTAAAACTCACCCCTCATAGCTGCTGCAGTAGGTGGTGAAGACAATTCAGTCCCTTTTGTGCCTACATGTATATTATTTCTGGAGGTACATTACTTCCACTATCTTCTCAGCAACGTCCTGTTCCGAGACACAGACCTTACGCTGTGTGTCTTCATGCTGACTCCTATGGGCATTAATACTTTTCTGTCTTCAGGTCTGGCTCATCTCATGCAATAGGTCCTCTCCTTCCAAGAGCCAACTCCAGCGAGTTCTTTGCGTTCTTATGGTAGTCAGAACCCCCTAACTCTGTTGAGGTAACTCCTAGCATTGCCATCTGGTGATAATCGGTGCAATGGTAAACTAAGGATAACTTGGTATTTTGACAATTACAACAAACTCTCACAGGGGTGTTAACTGTTTTGGCTAAATTTTATCCCGTCTCACGGGATTTTGACGGGATAAATTTATCCCGTCTCACTTCCACAACTATGCAGCATGACAACTTTCATAGATCCTTGTTATGGTGGAACAGGTCTGGGCACACTGTGTGTATAGCATCCTGGATGGACTCTGGCTTGAGTAGTGACAGAGGGGCTACTTAGAATGGCATTATAGTACATATGAAATACATTCGACCCCTCCCTTATACAATCCCCCCAGCCAAAGTTTACATCTACAGTATTTATTATATAAATTTTGTATTTCTATAGTGAAAAAATAATGAGCTTCAATCTTGTGAGTAATACATACAGTATTTTTTAATAGTTTAATAAATTCAATTTGTGCACATGGAATCTTACTTTAATTCAGCAGTCAAAGGGTTAAAATAATGCTAAACTATAAATAAGCATTCTATCGTTTCAAAATATTGAAATTATTTTAAAGTACCAGACAGTATGTAGTAAAACACCAAGATTATAAACTAAGTTGGACAGTTGGAAAACTAACTAACTTTTTATTGTAAATTTCTTCATACTTTCTATGTTTGACCAGACCACACACTAGAAGGTGAAGGGACGACGACGTTTCGATCCATCCTGGACCATTCTCAAGTCGATTGTCTTGAGAATGACATGAGAATGGTCCAGGACGGACCGAAACGTCGTCATCCCTTCACCATCTAGTGTGTGGTCTGGTCAAATTACTTTAGCCACGTTATTGTGACTCATCGCCTTCATACTTTCTATTCTCTGAAATGATTTATCTTAGATGCAGTTAAACCTACAAACATATTTGTTTAAAAAAAGAGGAAAACAAGAATTAATTGTTCACCTACGTGCTCATGTAAGATCCAGGGGTTGCAAGGATAAATTTCCAAATGGAAATACCAAAAAGATCCATACATATGGCACATATATTTCAGCACAGCAAATCCTTCAAAATAAAATATATAAAAATTGGGTAGCAGGTAGTAGAGATAGCCCAAGAAAACAAAAAATACAATGTCAACTAACAACACAGCGGGTCACGTTACCTAACTCAAGGTGCGAAGAACTCCCTCCAGCTGACACACTGTTGGCAAGCCCTCCTGAAGCATAAAAATAAAGCCTTAATTAAAAACTGCAATGTAGATAGGAAAATTGGGTGCTTAAAAATTACCCTCATTTGTAAGACTAGAAATGATTGCAATTTGAAACTTGTTTGAAAAAGTTGAAACTTTTTCAGCAAATATTCTATATAAATAATAAAAAGAGAAGCTTCATTATATATAAAATTATTATTATTAATATATATATATATATATATAATTTCAATATTTTCCTCATTTTTTTCTCAAGAAATGATAAAGCTATTCATTTCATTATGTATGAGCTATTTTTTTAAATTCGAGTTAAAACTAACGTAGATATATAACCGAACCTAACCTATCTTAATCTAACCTAAACCGACATAAATAAATCAATAATTTATGTTCTTAATATAACATAATAATAATATTTAAAATAAACCAATAGGAAACAATATAATGGAAATAAAGAAAATCACTCGGTCTATTAGGCAAATCGGGCCTTGCATAGTAGGTCAAGAAGTCGTTCTGGCTACTAGGTACGACATACATACATACATATATATGTACTGCAATTCTAAGATTTGTGGAAAATACTGTCTACAAAATCCAAAATATGTAACTTGGTAATATGCAGGCAAACTCAGTTCAACTTTAGATAGTACAGATGTATTAGTACTACAGTAATTGAACATTAATATTTGTACTTTCAGCGGCTTTCTATTACTGTACTTAATAACAAATATTTATAGATGAATTAACCCTGTTGACTGAACTGTTAACTTTTCTTGCAAGTGCATTTTGTTCACAACCAATAGTTCCCATGTTCGATTCCCCCACACGATGTAGACACTTGGCCACATTTCCTTACACCTGATTAATTATTTTTATGGTGGGTTGGACATGTTTACGAGTGGGATTGGGTGGTTATCGATAGGAGCTGCCTCGTATGGGCCAATAGGCCTACTGCAGTTGCCTTTGTTCTTAGGTTCTTATGATGCATCTTACTTATCAGTACTTATCTATCTATCGGGTGGCCGAGGGTGGTGCCAGAGGCCGGGGTGGCCGAGGGTGGTGCCAGAGGCCGGGGTGGCCGAGGGTGGTGCCAGAGGCCGGGGTGGCCGAGGGTGGTGCCAGAGGCCGGGGTGGCCGAGGGTGGTGCCAGAGGCCGGGGTGGCCGAGGGTGGTGCCAGAGGCCGGGGTGGCCGAGGGTGGTGCCAGAGGCCGGGGTGGCCGAGGGTGGTGCCAGAGGCCGGGGTGGCCGAGGGTGGTGTCAGAGGCCGGGGTGGCCGAGGGTGGTGTCAGAGGCCGGGGTGGCCGAGGGTGGTGCCAGAGGCTGGGGTGGCCGAGGGTGGTGCCAGAGGGGGGTGCCAGAGGCCGGGGTGGCCGAGAGTGGTGCCAGAGGCTGGGGTGGCCGAGGGTGGTGCCAGAGGCCGAGGTGGCCGAGGGGGGTGCCAGAGGCCGGGGTGGCCGAGGGTGGTGCCAGAGGCCGGGGTGGCCGAGGGTGGTGCCAGAGGCCGGGGTGGCCGAGGGTGGTGCCAGAGGCCGGGGTGGCCGAGGGTGGTGCCAGAGGCCGAGGGGGGTGCCAGAGGCCGGGGTGGCCGAGGGTGGTGTCAGAGGCTGGGGTGGCCGAGGGTGGTGCCAGAGGCTGGGGTGGCCGAGGGTGGTGCCAGAGGCCGAGGTGGCCGAGGGTGGTGCCAGAGGCCGAGGGTGGTGCCAGAGGCCGGGGTGGCCGAGGGTGGTGCCAGAGGCTGGGGTGGCCGAGGGTGGTGCCAGAGGCCGGGGTGGCCGAGGGGGGTGCCAGAGGCCGGGGTGGCCGAGGGTGGTGCCAGAGGCCGGGGTGGCCGAGGGTGGTGCCAGAGGCCGAGGGTGGTGCCAGAGGCCGGGGTGGCCGAGGGGGGTGCCAGAGGCTGGGGTGGCCGAGGGGGGTGCCAGAGGCCGAGGTGGCCGAGGGTGGTGCCAGAGGCTGGGGTGGCCGAGGGTGGTGCCAGAGGCTGGGGTGGCCGAGGGTGGTGCCAGAGGCCGAGGTGGCCGTGGGGGGTGCCAGAGGCCGGGGTGGCCGAGGGTGGTGCCAGAGGCTGGGGTGGCCGAGGTGGCCGAGGGGGGTGCCAGAGGCCGAGGTGGCCGAGGATGGTGCCAGAGGCTGGGGTGGCGGAGTTTGGTGCCAGAGGCCGAGGTGGCCGAGGGGGGTGCCAGAGGGTGGTGCCGAGGCTGGGGTGGCCGAGGGTGGTGCCAGAGGCTAGGGTGGCCGAGGGTGGTGCCAGAGGCTGGGGTGGCCGAGGGTGGTGCCAGAGGCCGAGGTGGCCGAGGGGGGTGCCAGAGGCCGAGGTGGCCGAGGGTGGTGGCGGCAGCTGGGGGGCCAGACAAGCCTCCTAACATTCCAGCACCACATCCACACTTCACTCCACACACCTCTTATGTACGCCCACACCGCTGCTGCCTCACACTCTCGCTCTCACCCGTCAGCCTCTTAAACAAGCAGGATGTTAGAATAATATAACAAAATGTATAGAGAGACGGACCTTCTTAGATAAGCAGCTTGTAAATGTCCTGCGGGAGCCAGGAGCGACAACTCTGGCCTCCTCCGCCTAACGCCCTCGCCAACGCTCCCTCGCCTTATCCTACACTATATCACAAACCACTATTAACTAATTGACCTATGTGCTCTTTTAATTTTTGTAAAATTCAGATCAATAAATGTAAAATAGTTTGTTTCATCTATGAGGAAACAATATTAAAATAAAAAATGACTGGCTATACATGGCATGAATTCGACGCATGCGCGCCAGGTGTTGCGGCGGACAAGTAATAGATGGCGCCAGCAACACCTTAAACCATTACATATTTTATTTATTTATTTATTTATTTATTTATTTATTTATTTATTTATTTATTTATTTATTTATTTATTTATTTATTTATTTATTTATTTATTTATTTATTTATTTATTTATTTATTTATTTATATACAAGAAGTTACATTGGGTTTATGAGAGTACATAGCATGATGTGTTCACATTCTTGTAAAGCCACTAGTGCGCACAGTGCAGGGCTGGCCGGGAAGGATTGACCGGGCACCAATCCTTAACTGTTCACCCAGCAGAGAATTGGTTGTTAAAAGATTTGGCGGGTCATACTCCAGGGAAAAAAATAGGATTAAGGACCTGCCCAAAACGCTATGCGTGCTAGTGACTTTACAAGAATTTAAAAATTCTTTTTTTATATATAAATAAACAAAAAATAAACAAAATCCGCCGACAAATCTTCTTGTGTGCGATGAGACTTGTATCTGGCAAAATTAAAATCTTAACTTAAATAATTCGTTTCTTAGACAATATATCATATTCAGATCTATAAATTACTTTAGAAAGGCCTATAATGCATATAAATATTAATTTACACATTCCTGGCGCTATACGCTAGGAATTTCAATATGGCGTTCAAATAATTTTAGGCAGAGGGTCTCTGGGTCGGTTGGTCGCTTGCGGGTGACCGGGTCATGGCTACGGGGCCGTCAGTCGTCAAGACGCAGCGGAGGCGTGCGGTGCGTCGCTCCCGTGTAGGTAAGACTGATACCCTTTTTTTTTTTCTGAAAATATATCTGAGCAGTTGGGAGGTACGCATGACTATATAGTCTACCTCCACCTACAATGCTTAATGCATTACATTCGTTCGCGATTATAACATTGAGTTTTGTGATGTCTCCGAGGGTTATTATTTCTGTATTTTTTTCATCCGGGTTCTGTAGTGTTCGTGTTTGTATTCCACTAATGCTAAATAGTCTGTCCTCTCTCGGATATTGTGGAATATTTTGAGGATCATGATTTGCCAACATTATATGGGTAGGATATTATGTAGAATACACTTCCCCATAGTGTTAAACTACCCCATCGTCAGGCTAGGCTCGTTAACGCGGCGGTCGTCTCCCCTACATCCCAAGACGCATTTATTATTGACTTGCATGTACTGTGTATTAAAAATAGTTTTTATCGTGAATAAATTAATTTTATATTCTAGGTTTAATTAGGCGTATATAGTAGGTTCGGTATTTAGGTTCTATTGGCAATTATTTGCACTTGAAGTATGTGGAGGGTGAAGCATTTACAGTTGCCTGTCCTCAGGCCAGGCTCGCCTACGCCGCCGCCCAACCCACAGCCGCATTCGTCAATTTTATCACTGTATTTATTGTATTCAGAATTATTCTCGCGTATAAGGTAATATTATTTCATCAAGTTAATAGTTAGCAACTTAGTTTAGTGACAAGCGACAGTCCAATATACAAATACTGCAATAGTTTAGTTTATTTAATTTATTATGCACCCCATACCCATCTTGTGGGTGGTAGTGGAAAGGGTTACAGATCAAGTATGTTTATTGAGATAAGCAATAAATACATCTCAAAGGGATAGTAGCTTAGGCTATTTCTACCCCCCTAAGGTTACAGAGGCACATAATAGGCTCAGGGACTGAACCCCACAATTCATTTAGCTTAGCAAGTTAAATCTTGATGAGATTGTTACGATATTCAGTATAAGTCGTCACATCATAAATGGGTTCGAGATTGAGCACAAGTACAGTTTCTAAATTAAGCAACTGACATATGTGGAGAGCCTAGTGTCACAATTGATACGTATGTCCTACACACCGTCCCCCATCGAATGGGCAGCGGTGGATAGGTTACAATCACTTAGTTACTACCTACAGTTTGCAAACTGGGGATATTTGGCTAAAATTTCTGGTAGCAGATCATTTTGAATTAAATATTTACACATTGCTGGAAGATTGGTTATAGAATTGTCTTTGAATTCGCGTATCTTTTCGCACTCCATCACATAGTGACTCAGGGTGTGCGAATAATTTTGTTGACACAGTTTACATTTGGTCAGGTCTACATCAGCAGATAATGAGAATTCCCAGAGATACTTGTAACAGAATCTAAGCCGAGTAACATCTAGAAGTCTGCTGATATTATTGGATGAACCATAGATGTGTGGCTCCTCTTGCATGATAGTATATGATACTGCAATAGATGAACAACTTCCCAACGGGAAGGAGCAGGGACATGCCTCCAGGAACTTAATTTACCGGAGGGAAACTAACACTAGTGGCCTCAATGAGGGCAGTAAGCTTGCGGCTTGTCAACGATCCCCCCCATTTGTCCTGATGATCTTTTCCAGCTGTATTTTAAAACCTAGCAGAGGTTTGGCGTTTATTTCTTCGGCGGGTAGGCGGTTCCACTGGTTTACAACCCTATGGGTGAAAAAGCATCTGTTTCCTGTCCAACATTCTGGCTTGTTGAGTGTGAACCCGTTGCTCCTTGTTCGTGTAACATCTGACCTTTTGAAGACATTGTCCTGATCGACATCCTCCAAATTGTTTAGTATTTTAAAGATTTCTATGAAGTCCACCCTGTCATGCCTGGTTTGTGGTGGTGTTAGCCCTGTGGCCCTCAACCGTTCCTGATACAACAGATGACTAAGTTCTGGTATGATTTTTGTCGTAAAACATAACTCCATAGCTCTGGTAAGACATGGCTCCAGAGCATCTATGTCTTTCTGAACATGAAGTCTCCATGCCTGGATGCAATAATTCATGTGGGGGCGCACCAGCTACAAACAGTCTAAGTAGACCTAGGCGTGCGGTTACACAACTGGTCGGGGTTCGGTTACACAACTAGTCGGGGTTCGGCTACACGGCTGGTCGGGGTTCGGTTACACGACTGGTCGGGGTTCGGTTACACGACTGGTCGGGATTCGGTTACACGACTGGTCGGGGTTCGGTTACACGACTGGTCGGGGTTCGGTTACACGACTGGTCGGGGTTCGGTTACACGACTGGTCGGGCTCCGGTTACACGACTGGTCGGGCTCCGGTTACATGACTGGTCGGGCTCCGGTTACACGACTGGTCGGGCTCCGGTTACACAACTGGTCGGGCTCCGGTTACACGACTGGTCGGGCTCCGGATACACGACTGGTCGGGCTCCGGATACACGACTGGTCGGGCTCCGGATACACGACTGGTCGGGCTCCAGTTACACAACTGGTCGGGATCCAGTTACACAACTGGTCGGGCTCCAGTTACACAACTGGTCGGGATCCAGTTACACAACTGGTCGGGCTCCAGTTACACAACTGGTCGGGCTCCTGGGGTGTCACATGGGATTCGGGTTGTGCATGGTCGGGCTTCGGTTCATACATGGTTGTGCTTCAGCGTTTGTTTGTGTACTATTGCTCCAAGTTTGTTCCCTAAGGCTCTATGTTTATATGTTTGTTAGAAATCCAGGTTTCTGTTTTTTTGTATATAGTTCAATTGTTTGCTATGGGTCAATAGTTGGTGTCTAGGGCAAGTGGAGGGTTTTAGATAGGGCTAAGGAGATTTTTGTTTGGTCGAGCTAGGAATGGAATTTGGTTGTGCTCTGGGACTGTTTAGCTCTGTGGGGGTTGGATGAGATGTATACTTGCTAGGCTTATGGTTTACACAACTGGTCGATGTCCGGTTACACAACTGGTCGAGCTTCGGTTACACAACTGGTTGGGCTCCGGTTAAATAACTGGTCGGGCTCCGGGGGTGTCACTTGGGCTTCGGGTTGTGCATGGTCGGGCTTCGGGTCGTGCATGGTTGTGCTTCAGCGGTTAGTGCTCCAGGTTTGTTTGTTAAGGCTCTATGTTTATATGTTTGCTAGAAATTCGGGTTTCTTTTTTTGTATATAGTTCATTTATTTGCTATAGGTGAATAGTTGGTGTCTAGGGCAAGTGGAGGGTTTTAGATAGGGCTAAGGAGATTTTTGTTTGGTCGAGCTAGGAATGGAGTTTAGTTGTGCTCTGGGACTGTTTAGCTATGTGGGGGTTGGATGATATGTATACTTGCTAGGCTTACGGTTACACAACTGGTCGGGGTCCGGTTACACAACTGGTCGAGCTTCGGTTACACAACTGGTCGGGCTCCGGTTTAATAACTGGTCGGGCTCCGGGGGTGTCACTTGGGCTTCAGGTTGTGCATAGTTGGGCTTTGGTTCATGCATGGTTGTGATCCAGAGGTTGTTTGGTTCATTCATGCTAGGCTTGCGGTTACACAACTGGTCGGGGTCCGGTTACACAACTGTTCAGGCTCCGGTTACACAACTGGTCGGGCTCCGGTTAAATAACTGGTCGGGCTCCGGGGGTGTCACTTGGGCTTTGGGTTGTGCATGGTCGGGCTTCGGTTCGTGCATGGTTGTGATCCAGAGGTTGTTTGCTTGGTTCGTTCATGCTAGGCTTGCGGTTAGACAACTGGTCAGGCTCCGGTTACACAACTTGTCGGGTCCGGTTACATAACTCCGGGGGTGTGATTTGTTGAGCTTTGGGTTGTGCATGGTCGGGCTCTGGTTCGTACATGGTTGTGCTTCAGCCTTTGTGTACTAGTGCTCCAGGTTTGTTTGCTAAGGCTCTGTTTATATGTTTGCTGGAAATCTGGGTTTCTTTTTTGTACAAAGTTCAATTGTTTGCTATGGCTCAATAGTTGGTGTCTAGGGCAAGTGGAGGGTTTTAGATAGGGCTAAGGAGATTTTTGTTTGGTCGAGCTAGGAATGGAGTTTAGTTGTGCTCTGGGACTGTTTAGCTATGTGGGGGTTGGATG